AGGACCGTGTTGAGGCTGGGACAGATATTTAAAATCATGGATAATAAACACGTTCACTTTGGGAGATAGTTGGAAGTTCTCCAAGCACACAAAGGACAACTTTCCCGATTTGAGCACGGTGACAGCGGAAGAGTTTCTAACAGGGTAGAGTCCTTTCCAGAACATGAGTTAATAAGGGTTGGATGGGCTGTAAAGGCTCAAGTTCCGGAAATGTTCTGTTAGAAAAAGTGAGACGGTTTGGAATTGGTAGTGGGGGAAATGGAAAATAACTGAAAAGTTTCAGGGGCTGAAAGTGTACCCAAATGGTAGAACTCTTGCCTCCAGGAGGCCTCGGCTTGAAGCGATGTGTGTTCATAACACTGCTTTTACTTCCTTGACCTGGAAAGACCGTTTGATGCTTCTTTCTTAGCTCCAGTTACATTTGACTACGCTGTTCCTGAACAATTTTAATTTTAATTCATATGCTATAAGTAAAACACTTTGAGCCTATTTCTCCTAAGTATATTTATTTTATGCTTATTGAGTATATCTTATGTTTATTTTAGATAGTGGGAATACCTCTGTAAATATGTAAACATATGTAAATATGTTTATAAAAATATAAAATACAAATTAAGAGAATGAAAAAATAAAAAAATATGGCCCAACGCCACAGACTTTGAATATCACATAGAAGATGCTTCCTTGGTTTCTCAAGACGACTGTCGGCATTTCTGAGGATTCCCACACTTTTGGGGTGTGGACTTTTCATTCTACAGTAATATAGCCAGCCATTCCTAAAAATAATGATCTTTAAAGGTTTCCTTTTTAACTTTCTCACTGACTTTTAAAATTCACCTCTCCTTCCCTGCCGCCCCCACCCATTTCAATTAAAGAGATGTTGATACCACCCTTATTTATAAAATATCATTAGCTTTTCTTGGTTACTTATAGGAATAAGTTATTTGTGAGACTTTGTGTTTCTTTGTTTGTTTATTTATTTATTTAAATTTTTCAAGACAGGGTTTTTCTGTGTAACCATAGTTGTCCCGGAACTAGCTCTTGTAGACCAGGCTGGACTTGAACTCATAGAGATCTGCCTGTCTCTGACTCCCAAGTGGTGTGATTAAAGGCATGTGCCACCACTGCCTGGCTCATATTTTTAAAATAATAATTGTCAGTAGACATTGAAGGCTTTGAGAAAAGAAGTTATTTTTATTTTTGTTTCTGCTTTAACTTTTATTTGTATGACTTTTTGCCCACATGTATATCTTTGCACTTTGTGTGTGCCTGGTGTCCCTAGAGTCTAAAAGAGGGTGCCAGATCCCCTGGAACTAGAGTTACAGATGGTTGTAGGTGTCAGGAATCAAACCCAGGTCCTCTGGAAGAGCAGCCAGTGATGTTAACCACTGAGCCATCTCTCCAGCCCCGGACTTTTTATTTGAATCCATAGTGCTGCTCCCTGTAGGTGTCAGGTCTTGTGGCAGGGAGTGTGTGGTGAGCCTGGCGAGCTTGTTTTTATTTGCTGTTTTATAGAAGCTTGGCCTTCACATAGAGCTCTGTTTTAGTTTTCTGTTTGTGATTCTGGTGCTTTATAAAATGATAGCAGTCCACTTTCCTCGTGTGAATTTATTAGCACAGTGTTTTCCTTCTGCTGATCCTTACGGGTGTATTTGCCGTTTGTATTTTACTACGAGCCCCATAGAGAGGGATCACCATCTTGCTCCATTTAACTTTCCTGCCCTTGGATTCCTAGCCTTCGAGCTGTAGCTCTCGGCTGCGTGAAAGATGCCCTCCCAGATGCATGCTTTAGTTGCAGTTATAGATCCTGCTCCGGAGCCAGGAACTGCATCAGTTGTCTTAAACTGGCCCTTCTTAGTCTTCATCTTAAGGCAGAGGAACTGACGCTGACCAGGTAAAGCGTCCTCGGAGCACAATGTGATGAAGCCGCTGTGTGCTGAGCCAGAAAGTTGTTACTCACTCCAGATCGGCATCCCCTTCCCATCAGCTTCTGGGATTTCTTTTTCAGTCAGTCCATCTTATCTTTTAATGATAGTGTGCAAAATATTTAAGGTCTCGTGCTCCGGGTGCTGCGCCCTAATGTGCTCTGTCTTTACGTTTCTCTAAAGAAATTCTGGCTTAAAAACAGTTGAGGAATTCTCTGCCTGAGATTCCAGTACCTTTCTCATTAATCCAAAAAGTAGCACCACCACAGCCCAAGCTACTTAGAGAAAGAAGTAAGTGTGGGTGGAGCCAGCAGGGCTGCAGTACAGATGGAGCTGAGGATTGGCTGGGAAACCAGAACTGAAAGTGATGGAGAGCAGCCAACTAGGAAAGTGTTTCTAGGTCGGGGTGTGTGACAAAGCCTGGCTTAAGTCTAGAAACTCCTTTATGAATATGGTAATCACCCTGAGTTGATTACCACCCAGTGCATGCCTGAATCTCACTATCATATACCTTATGGACTGTGCAGATATGTGTCAATAAAAATAAGAACTAAAGTTTCCTTATGGGGGTCTCTAAACATAACTGTTTAACAGTTTCTGTTAATTTTCTTTAAATAAACACTTCTCATTGATAAAACACAGATAAAGGAAACCACACTATAAAATATATAGTTACATAAGTTACTGTAACAAATACAACTTGGTTGACCACACTATAAAATATATAAACCACACTATAAAATATATAGTTACCTAAGTTACTGTAACAAATACAACGTGGTTGACCATTCTAGAAGCCCTTCCCTGTGCTTTTCTTTTGGTTCTATTATCCGTTTGGGAATCTTACTTGATCCGTCTTCCGTCTTTTCCTTACAACCTCTGTTGAGAAGCATGGGTCCTGCTGAGAAGCATGGGTCCTGCAGCTGTGGAGTTGGACACTCTGCAGGAGTGCACATGAGTTATGTAGTCCAGTGTGTTCCTCTGTCCTCTGCGTTTTCTGCAGATGTAGCAGATGGGTGGCCTGAGTTTCCATCCTTTAGCAAGACTCTAGAAGGTGGTTATCGTCTTTCATCAGGACGTTCATAAAGTCTGGACTTTGCTTTATTATCAGCTGTTGACTGATCAGTGTCTAGATACCTTGATCAGGGCCTGAAAATGTTAGAACAGTTGTTTTTTCCTGAATAATTTTGTGGGAAGGTGATGCACACTTGTGCCTGTGTGCGTGTGTTTGTAAGCCAGAGGTCAACCCTGGGTGACCTTGGGAGTCCTCCACCCTTGTTCTTTTGAGACAGGGTCTCCCTGGGACCTGTGCAGGTCAGATAAGTGAGCCTGGCTGTCCAGGGAGTCTCGGGACCTTGCCTCCACATTTTTGGTGCTAGGATTACAGGTGTGTTGCCAGACCTGGCAGTCTGTGTGCCGTTCCCTCATCTACTGTGCTCGACACACTGATTAGTGAACAAACGGCAGTTGGCGCTGCACTTTGCTTGGTTTGTTACACACCTGTGTTCTTGAACGGACACCACTGAAGTCACATTTGGTGGTGGTCGTTGATTTTGACTGTTGCTATGTCAACTTGGGGGTTTATAGGAAACTTGATTATACAGGGCTTTTTATTGTTGGGCGAGGCAGTGTTTTGTTCAGGTTGCACGCAGGTTTTTGCTGTTCCTCTCCTTGCTTTGCTCTTATCTGGGGATCTAAGAAGCACACAAACATTCCTGCTTCCCTGCCTATTGCCATCTTCTGAGTCCATCAGTCAGTTGTTCGCTTGTTCCCAAGAGCGGTATGTAAAATGTAAAGATGAATGATAAGTTATATTCTGATAAGTTATAGTCTAGTGTGAATTTCTTTAGGAGATTTATACAGATCTTTATGAAATATTATTGATGGTGTTCATTCCTTTATTAAAATTAATCTTAGATGGCTGCGAGTGTGGATTAGCGGTAGAGTCTACACAGCATGCACAGGCCCTGAATCCTCAGCATAGGGGCTTTGGGGCAGCTCTTCTGAGCACAGCCTTTGTTTTATGGGTTTAATTTTCTGTTTACTGATTTCTGCTCTGGGCTTTATCTCCTTTTCTCTGATTATGTTGTGTAATAATAAGGGCGGCGGGGCTGCGTCCCCAGCACCCCGGCCGCCTGCTCGGCTAGCTTATGCCCGAAATAACAACACACAAACTGTTTTCATTTAAGCACTGCTTGGCCCATTCTCTTCTAGGCTCTTTCTCACATATTAATTTAGCCCATTTCTAATCATCTGTGTATGGCACCCCAAGGTGCGCTTACCAGGAAGATTCTAGCCTATGTCCATCCTGGGTCAGAGCTTCATCCCGGGAGCGGGGCATGGCGTCTCTCTCAGGCGTCTGCTCCCGAGAGGAGAGCTGTCGAGACTGAGCTCACTTCCTCTTCCTCCCAGCGTTCTGTTCTGTTTACTCCTCCCACCTATCCTCTAACCAATAAAATGGGCCAAGGCAGTTCCTTTATTAGCCAATGACCTTCCTCCATCAATGTTGTCTTTTATTTCTTTTCCTAATTCTGCGCAGAACAAGTGTAGGATACTGATTTCAGTCATTTACTGCTGTAAATGTTTATACTCCACATTGGAGAGTGACTCTCCACTGACACCGCATGGTTTGTCAGGAAAACTACAGGAAAGAACGGGCTTCAGGGAACACATGAAAAGGGAAATTTTCTTAGGGTTTCATTGAAAATCAGAAAAGGATCAATCTGGGAGAAGGAAAACTTAATTTTTTGGTTTATCAATAAAAACATGGGGCATTAAAGACCGCTACTGAGACATACTTAACAATGACATACTTGGATTTAAAGATTGTGTTCTTGCATTTTATTATTCGGACTGATCCTAGTGATGGTGCTTACAATAAGGCTCCAGAGCAGAACAGGGTGTGGCTACACCATGCACACAGCTGGCTGCACCCCGAATCCAGTGACAGTCCCTCCTCTCACAGAGATGATATGGGTACTGATGTCTAGCTGTACCTGTCTGCTTACTTGCCCTCCAGCAGCCTGTATCTGTTTTTACTGATCGTTGCATTTTCTTTCTATTTCGCTCGCAGAGATGCTGAACCAATTATCAGGATTAGCAAATGTTGTTTTACATGAATTATCAGGATCTAATGCTGACCAGAATATGACAGCTCCCTTAGAAGCTGTGAGTAACTTTGTCCAGATCGAGTAACAAGACCTCTGCTGTGTGTTCTTCTGAGGAGAATACCTTAGGCTAGAGGGATGTGAGCAGCCTCTCTTATGCAGTAGAGTGATGTTTAAGGAAACCACTGCCACTCTGTAAATGATCCTCTGCTAAGGTCTATTAGTCTGAGAGCTGTGGGAACAGAAACCAAGAGTAGATGAGCTGGGAAAGATGGGTCTTTGTTGTCTGCTTAGCCAGTTTAGTACCAAACTGTCTTAAGAAGTTATTGTTGACACATGGGATCCCCTCTAGAGCCAAGTCTCTTGCCACCCCTAAAATGACTCACTTAATGTAGATATCTTCTTCCCTGCTCCTATAGCTGCCCTTCCTCCATCTCCACCCTCCCACTCCCCCAAACTCTCCCCAGTCTTTCCCTTCTCCCTTCTCTCTCCCCCTCTCCCTTTCCCCCAAACCCACCCCTACCCCCACCTGCATGCTCCCAACTTTTGCCCGACGATCTTGTTCGCTTCCAATTTCCAGGAAGATCTATATATGTTTCTCTTTGGGTTCACCTTGCTATTTGGCTTCTCTAGGCTTGTGAACTATAGGCTTAATGTTTTTTGTTTATGGATAGAGTCCTCTAATGAGTGAGTACATACCATATTCATCTTTTTGGGTCTGGGTTATCTCACTCAGGATAGTGTTTTCTATTTCCATCCATTTGCATGCAAAATTAAGATGTAATTTTTTTTTTTTACCACTGAGTAGTACTCTAATGTGTATATATTCCACACTTTCTTTATCTATTCTTCCATTGAGGGGCACCTAGGTTGTTTCCAGGTTCTGGCTCTTACAAATAATGCTGCTATGAACATAGTTGAACAAATGCTTTTGTAGTATGATAGGGCATCTCTTGGGTATATTCCCAAGAGTGGTATTGCTGGATCCTGAGGTAGGCTGATTCCCAATTTCCTGAGAAACTGCCACACTGATTTCCAAAGTGGTTGCACAAGTTTGCATTCCCACCAGCAATGGATGAGTGTTCCCCTTACTCCACATCCTCTCCAGCATAAGCTATCATTGGTGTTTTTGATTTTAGCCGTTCTGACAGGTGTAAGATGGTATCTCAAAGTTGTTTTGATTTTGATGATAGCATTTCCCTGATTGCTAAGGAGGTTGAACATGACCTTAAGTGTCTTTTGGGATGTCCGCAGATAGGTCCTTGGGCAGCAAAGGAGAGAGTACCTGAACTGCCCTTGTCCCACTATCACACTGATGATGATCTCGAATATCACTATAGAATCTTCGTCCAGTGACGGATGGAGATAGAGACAGAGACCCTCATCAGAGCAATGGACTGAGCTTCCACGGTCCAGTTGAAGAGCAGAAGGAGGGAGAAGATGAGCTAGGAAGTCAGGACTGTGAGGGGTTGGTCCACCTGCTGAGACAGTGTGCCAGTTCTAATGGGAGCTCACCAAATCCATCTGGACTGGGACTGAGCGAGCGTGGGATCAAACCGGACTCTCTGAATGAGGCTGACAATGGGGGCTGACTGAGAAGCCATTGATAAAGGCACTGGGACTTGTTTCTACTGCCTGTACTGGCTTTTTGGGACCCTAGTCTATTTGGATGCAAAGCTTCCTAGGCCTGGATGTAGGGGGGATGGCCTTGGACTTCCCACAGGACAGGGGTTCCTGCCCTCTCTTAAGAAGGGAGGGGGAGGGAGGAGGATGAGTGGGGGAGTGGGAGGCGAATGGGAGGAGGGGAGGAGATGTAAATTTTTGAATGAAAAATAAAAATAAAAAAGAATGTAATTGTCAAAAAATTGAAAAAAGAAGTTATTGTTAACATACGCCTCCTCCCCTTCCTCCTTCTAGGGACACTGCTCCTGCTCCATGGGAAAGTGTAAAGAGTAAATGGGGCTGGAGCACCATTTTTGTTTGAAAACCTCTATTTATTTCTATAAATTTGTCTGTTTTTCTTGTAGTTTGCATTGTGTTTTCCAACCCTTAAGGATTCAAAAGAAGTCCATTAACTTTTTCAAAGACAAGCGACAAGCTAAATAGTTAAGGGCTTTTGTTTTGTTTTAATTTTCAAATAACTTACTTTAATTTAATTTATTTTGTTTGAGACAGGGTCTCATGTATCCCAGGCTGGTCTCCAACTTGCTCTGTAGCTAGCCAAAGAATGACCTTAGACTCCTGATCTTTCAACCTCTGCCTTCTGAGTGTTGGGTCCAAGGTGTGTGCTGCCATCCATGACAGTTGATGCAGGACCGGGAACTGAAGCCAGGCTTTGTGCATGCGCGGCCTTCACTCTACTAGCTGAGCTACATCTCCAGCCCTCGGCTCAGCTCTAATTTTAAATTTTGGGTTCCTCCCAAAATTTACTTAATACTATGTAATCCTTATCTCCCTTTATTTTTTCTTGGATAAAATTAGGATAATAAAAGTTCTGGGGCTGGAGAGATGGCTCAGCAGTTAAGAGCACCAGCTGCTCTTTCAGAGGTGCTGAGTTTTCAATCTCCATGGTAGCTCACAATCGTCTGTAATAGGATCTAGTGCCCTCTTCTGGCCTGCAGGTGTACATACACAGTACTCATATATAAGAGAAATAAATCAAGTTTCAAAACAAATCCTCTAAGTTAGACAAAACACTATATTGTAACGGCAAGGATAACTGCTGTGGGATTAGTTAGGGCTCAGTTTCAGAAGATAGGAGTTGGTCAGTGATTGAGGTGAGGATGTAGCAGTCCCTGCGGGGAGTCACTGCCTTTCCCCTGTGCATTATTTTTATTGCTTTCTGTCTAAATCCCAGGAACCACACCAGGAATCTAGCATGGAATTGAATAACAGCACTCAAGATGATGTTCTGGAAGGCCTGGCTGAAGCCGAGAAGTTAGTGGTGGAGCTGAAAGACATCATCAGCCAGAAGGACGCTCAGCTCCAGCAGAAGGACGAAGCTCTGCAGGTATTGTCGTTCGCTGTTTGCTGAGCATTTGAGAAAGACAGGTCGTCCGCTCAGAGCGTTAGCCCTGCTTCTTATTCCTAAGTGCCGTATAGAGCTGACTGCCGCGAGTAAGTTGTGTGCTAGGTAAACTCGTTTATTGTCTTCTTTGCTCTCCGGCAGGAGGAGCGTAAAGCTGCTGATAACAAAATTAAAAAAATAAAACTTCATGCAAAAGCGAAACTGACTTCTTTGAACAAACTCCTCGAAGAAATGAAGGCACAAGGAGGGGCTGCTTCACCTACATCTACAGAGCCTCAGCCTGCGGAGCCGCTCTCCAAGGTATGGGAACTGGATAGAGACTGGGTGTCCTCTGAGCCAGGAGCCCTACCACAGCACATCTGCAGTGGGGAGATGATGCATCAGAAGCGCTGCCCTTCCCTCGGAGCCTGCGGTTTGCTTGGAGTAAAGGCCACACTGGGCGAGCAAAGGCAGACGGAAATGTGGGCCTGAGTTGGCAGGTGTTACCCAGACTCCCAGTGAGACTCTCAAAGGGCTGACGGGAAGACATGAGTCGGGGATGAGACAGAGAGGAGAAACATATACTTTGTGGATGAGTTTGATTATTGGTTAGAACATTAAAAACTGTGATCGCTAAGGTTTTTACCCGGCTCTGAAATCCTTTTATTGCTTAACCAATAGAGAATATTCTCTGTTTCTGTAAGTAAATAATGGTTCATGATGTTTTATGAACTATGAGCTGAGTTGCCTGGCCCACCCTGGTGTCCCTGTAAGGAGGCCGGCAAGGTTTACAGAGCAGCGTCTAGTCGGGATGCAGAGGGACTAGAGCTGTCTTTAGAGGAGTGTGGTGTTGTTCCAGGTGTCCTCTTGGCCTTTCTGTTCGGAGCCACACTCGGGTATCTATGTAGAGAGCAGGGACCGTCAGGTTTTGGGGGCATTTGTACAGATTACACTGGTGCTGCTGGGCCACTGTGGCCTCGACTGCCCCTGCCCCCTGTATTACGTTATCAGAAATGCTCATTCTGAGGGGAGTTTTTCAAGTTCTGAGCCACAGCCCTTGAGGGCACTTGTTACCTCCCAGTGCCCTGCTTAGCCTTGCCTTTCAGGGACATTGCTGTTCCTTGTCTGCACTGGGGATGTGGCTCAGGAGAAGAGCACCTATGCAGTGTGAATAAGGCCCTAGGTTTAGCCCCTCCTACAGCAGGGGCACTGAAGGAGGGGAATAGAATAGGGTTGTTTAATCTCAAAGTTGGCTTTAAAAGCAAGTAATTTCTTTGTTTGAATTCTTTTCCTCCTCTATGGTTCCTATGGCAACTCTCTTCCCCGGCTGTGGTGCAGGCACTAACCCTTCCCTCTTCATGTTGATTCTTTCAGACTTGAGTCGTGTTGTCAGAGTTTCTATTTTTCCATTTTCTACTCTGCATTTCACTCTAGCTTACTGCTTAGCCCCCAGCATCTTCTATCATCATTCCCTTTCCATGTTCAATAAATGATGTCCAGCCGTTCCAGTCCACTCCAGCTGTAGTCACAGCAGCCCTGTAACCATGTGTGCCATGGTGTGCTTAGCGTAGCATGCATGTGGGTGGCAGGGGGCATGGACGGACAGCGACAGACAGAGAAGGGTATCAGAGACAAGAAGAGGGTGTGTCAGATCCCTCGAAGCTGGAGGGACAGGTCTTTGTGGGTTCTAGGATCCAAACCCTAGTCCTCGTGGTTGTAGAACAAGCTTTCTTAAACTCGGCTATCTTCCCAGCCCAAATTCATCCCTTTTTGTTAGTTTCTTATTCTTGCTTGTGTTGTTGTTTGATTTTGTTGTGGTGGTTGGTTGATTGGTTTTATTGTTTGTTTGTTTGTTTGCTACAGAGTCTTTCTATGTAGTTCTGACTGTTATGGGGATTCTAAACCAGGATGGCTTCTAACTAAGAGAGATCCTCCTGCTTCTGGCTCCTGAGTGCTTCTATCACTTCGGTGAAGCTGTAATTAAATGTCTCTAAAAAGCAAATAGTGTAAAAGATAAAATATATATTAATTATACCTCTTAAGTGACTTCAATCTATTGCAATTTTCAGCATGATAAGAATTCCACAGAAGAAGAGATGAGAGTAGAAGAAATAAAACGTGAACTCCAGGAGAAGGAGAAATTAATTAGCCATTTGCAAGCCCAGCTTCACCAGGCGCCGTCAGAACAAGCCATGAAGGTAGGAGTGAGTCACCTCGTTATTATAGCTTAACAGATCACTACCAGCCAAGGGCTATCCACGGTCAATGCCTCTTTCTAGACAATCAGTAGCGATCTCCTGTCAGCTGGTCCCTCCCTGCCCCCTCCCTTACTTCCACGTCTACTCATTCAATAGAGTTTGCATGTGTGTGTGGCCTTCTCCATTGGTATTTGCACATACTTAGTGTATTCTTTTATATATGGATCGTGTGTTCTCAGAAACTCTTGAATTGCATGATTCACAGCATTTGATCAGCTCCGATGCTTCCATTTTCTTCCTAGTAGGTTTCTGTTAACTTTTATTTTTGGTTGTGTATTTTTTAAACCAATTTTGATTAATAGTTTTTAGATTTATCTTTTTTCTTATTTAACTCAAGGCATTCATTTTGTGTTTGGCTTTCTCTTCTGAAATGAGTTTTCTTTTATATCAGCTTCATGAATTTTATTGCTTTTTAAACTTTTCTAATTCTAATTTTCCTTCCATGTCCTGTACACTTTTCTTAAACATGTTTAACTCTGAAATAAGTTATAGTGTCTTTCACCATATTGTTCTGCTCCTTATTCTTTATGATTTTTGTTGTTGTTTTTGAGGCAAGACCTGAGACTGTAGCCCAGTTTTACCTTGAACTTGTGGCAGTCCTCCTGTCTCCGCCTCTTGAGTGCTGGAATTATAGGCATGAGCCACCATGCCTGAATTTTAATGATATTATATAATTGTTCATTCATTTTCTGTGTGGATGCTTTTGCTTGCATGGATGTATATGTACTGCATACCCAGAGGTCAGACGAGGACATCAGATCCCCTGGAACTGGACTTACAGATAGCTGTGGGTGCTGGGACGGAACCTGGATCCTTTCACAAGAGCAGCAAGTGCTAGTTCCCAATGAATCTTTGCTAAGCCTCTATCTATACAGATCTCATATGGGAATCTTTTCTGTGGGTGGCCTGCATTTACCCACAATCAAAGAATGGGAAGTGTCGCTTCTCTTCTAATGCTGGCTGCCACCTATTCCTACAAATTCTTCTTGGTTACCTTGGATTTTTTTTCCTATTCCACAGGACCATCAGAGGTAGCTCTATTGCTGTCTCCTTTTTATTTTGCAGTCTCTAATGCCAAGAAAATCCTGATTTTCATGGTGTGCCCTTAACTTGTTTAGCCCATCTTTTGTAGGATAGTTTCCTACACATTGTTAATATTGTCCATGTTTTTCTGCCCACTAATTGGTCTGTCTCTTTGCTATGCTAGCTTTCAAAGAAATTGAAAAACATATTGCTATTCCTTCTGCCTTCTTCTAAAAAATCTTGGCAATTCAATGATAATTTAAAAATTAGCAAATGAGGGGCTGGAAAGATGGCTCAGTGGTTAAGAGCATTGTCTGCTCTTCCAAAGGTCCTGAGTTCAATTCCCAGCAACCACATGGTGGCTTACAACCATCTGTAATGAGATCTGATGCCCTCTTCTGGCCTGCAGACATACACACAGACAGAATATCATATAAATAAATAAATATTTAAAAAAATCAGCAAATGAAATTCTTTTTTGCGTTAAAGTGGAAATTAGAGGGAAATATGGTAGGTCTTCAAAGCAAATGAGAAAGTCAAAAGAACTAAGAATGCCAACCCCATTGCTTAAGGAAATATTTTTCCCCTTCAGTTGGATAAGAGTTCAGCAGAGATGGAGGAGTTTGTCCTGATGAAGCAGCAGCTTCAAGAAAAGGAAGAAGTCATTAGCACTTTGCGGACTCAGCTGAGCCAGACACAGGCAGAGCAAGCTGCACAGGTAGGATGATGGCGCCTCCATTAGGATAAAATCCATGGAGTCCAGAATGGTGCAGGTGGCAAATCAATCCCAGCAGTCACTTGAAAAGCTTGGTGGATGCAAATATGGTAGCTAGGATATTAAAGCCAAACCTAGGAAAGTGTGGTAAAAGAAGCTAGAAGTATGTTAAGCGGTTCATATCTTAGTAGGAAACACTGGAAACCCTCAAAAAATGCCATTTATGTTGGTGAACTTGCCATAGCTTTATGATGGCTGTTTTTATTCCTTAGGTCCAGATACTCCATTTTAATATCATGCAGAGATTCTGTATCTTAGGAATGGGCTCATGGCTGAACTCAAAAGAAATGGATAGATAAAACAAAAATAAAATAAAATTATTAGCTTCATTCTTTTCTGATTAAAATCTTGTTAGGAAGATACATCTTAACCTTCAAGTTACTTAATGAACATAAACTAAAGACGTGGAGAGGGTATGAGGCTCCTTGCTAATGACTCTAGTATGCAGCGTTCTTCATGGTCATTCTGAAGCCAGAGCCAGCCTGCTTCCGCCGGCTCCCTCAACTCTGTTTTTCTCAGTTTTCTGTAGTTCTCCGAGGATGCTTTTGTACTATGCCGCACTTTCATCCCAGAGGTCTTTCACACTTGCTCAAGGCTGCAGTCATTCTGAAGTCAGTGGTCGTGTATGTGACTAGTGTGTTTACCACACATAGAAGGGACTCATTAGATGATAAATCCAACCATCACTAGAATGTCAGAGACTCCATGGCTTTGGATCCAAATGAATTGATGAACTAAATGGCTTAGTTTTGTTTGGTGGGAAGGGGTCTCCCCTCACCGACCTATTACAGAGGTTCTGACCTTTGTAGCTCTGTGGCTGTGAAGACCCAGTGACACCTTCCGGTCACATCTCAGTTCTTGTTCCTCTCTAGATGCTAGTCTGTGGCTCTGTCGGGGCTTCTCCTCCTATGACAGCATTTTAAACTGGAGCAGCTGTTTATAGATGATGAAATAAATTATTTTGGTAGATGATAACAGCTGAAAATTTTAAATGTTTTATTGAAGTAAAATGTAATTGGTTGTGTTTTACGCTTTTTATGCTTTTATGCTTAGCTCTTTTGGGGGCTCACATCCAACTCCCAAATAAATACACACACGGAGGCTTATTATTACTTATAAAAGCCCAACATTATCTTGACTTATTTCTTTCCAGCTTTTCTTTAACTGAAATTATTCTGACTACCTTTGCCTCTGGGCTTTTTCCTTTTCTTACTTCCGTATACCTTACTTTCGCTCTTATTCCGTGTCTTGCCACATAGCTAGGGGGCTGGCCTCTGCCATCCTCCTCTCCTTATTCTCTCTTGCTCCTTCCTCCAGATTTCTCCTTCCATGTATTCTGTCTGCCTGCCAGCCCCGCCTGTCCTTTCTTCTGCCTTGCTATTGGCCATTCATCGCTTTATTAGACCATCAGGTGTTTTAGACAGGCCAAGAATCACAGCTTCACGGAGTTAAACAAAAGCAGCATAAACAAAAGTAACACACCTTACTATAATATTCTACAACAGTTAACACATAAAAGTAACAGATCTTTGGCATAGCAGGCTACAGGTTCACAAAGAGATGTGTAACAAGCAGTCAGGATAGGAAGCCAGGATGCCCCACACCCCCACAAGTCCACCATTCCTCTTCCAGTCACAGCCACCTACCTGAGAACTAAGTGGTGCCGTTTGCAGTATGAACACACTGCTGTAGGCCACTGTCACTCGGGATAAGAAATAGTTCTCTTTAGAACCTGGCTGTGCGGAGGGCACCTCCCTAGCCCGCTCATCCACTAGTTAACAAGTGACTGCCATTAGCCTGCTGAGAGTCTGGCCATAACTGAGGACACACATAAACCTTAAGTCACGTGAGCTTAGTCTCACTCCCCGTGGGTCCCAGCTTCTCACTCGAGTGAGATGAAGTTGAGGGGCCGTCACACGTGTTTCTCTCTAACCCTGTCTGCCCTCGCTCCTTTGCTGAATGCTAAGGTGTTCTACACAGCTCTGCTGGCTTAGCTCAATGTCTCTGTGCAGTGTAGGAATGTGTTAGAAACCTTAAACATGTCTAATGATATAGTGTTAGTCTAGCTTTAGTGGACTGAATTCAGTTAGCCTGTGAGTAAAGTAGAGGGAGAAACAGAGGAGCCTAAGTGGTCTGTGCACTGCACATCTCTGTGGTGGCAGCCCCACAGCGGCCATTCCTGTGAGCAGTGGTTGCTCCAGTGAGACTCCATGGACACTGGGAGGGCCGCGCCCCTGGATCCTATGCCTGCTCCTAACCCCAGAAACCGAGACAGAATGCAGACAGCCAAGACGGGTTACGAGTGGCTGATTCGTGATCAACTATTTGTCTTTGTAGTTCATAAGCCTTCGCTTCCATCAAGTTTATGGGTCTGCCCTCTGTTTCTAGATTTACTAGAGACAAAAATGAGAAGACAGTTTTAAACACTGGGGAGATTTGTTTTGTTTGTGTTTACTTGTGTTTGGTGTGCCCTGGGCTGTTCATTCCAGTTAGGAATGCTTTTCCTGTGGTGGGAGAACATGGTGTTAGTCCTCACCCTGGAGTTCCTATTGTACTCGGCCCGCCACCCTCAAATAAGCTTAGCTTCCCAAAAATTCACACCATTTTCTTCAGTCACACCTTTCTCCCCACACCCACGCCTCCCCAGACTGGGCCACATCATAAAGCAGGTGGGACTCAACACTTGAGACCCATACCTGTGAGCCTTTGTCTGGTGCCATGGCCTTGAGTAGTGTGAGCTTATTTCTTTTTTCCATTTGTAAAAAAGGAGAGAGGTCCTTTCTCTGCTTCTATCAATGAAGATGGTATTTGTCCAAATGTTTTGTAAACTGAAACTCGATCTTCAAAGTCACAACCACACACAAAGTCATCTGGAGCCACGTTCAGCTACAAAGCACGTTGTAATCATGTGTGCTATCTGTGTGCATCCAATGCGTTTTCCCAGATGTCTCTAGAAAACTGTTTTCTCTGAAGCATTGATGAACTTTCTTACACAAACACTTAGAAAAGAATCCTCAAGAGATCACAAGACTCCCAGCCAAATCCATCCGTTCCCTGTGACCCAAGCCTTCTAGTGTCTCTGTGGTGGGTACTCAGGAGGACGTCTCCATGGCTACCAATGTATCTGGGTGTTAATCATAACTGAAGTTTAAACTGACGGTGCACAAGTGAGGAATCCCAGTTCTGGTTCCAGAGGAGTCCAGTCCCAGTCAGCTGGTAGAAGCCGCATCAGCTAAATGTTTTCACTCATCGTAAGAAGGTTTCCTGGTTTAGAAACCAGAGGCTTAGATTGCTTTGCCAGGTAGTGGGCACCTGACACTGAACTTGTGCAGGGACAGATCTGACCGTGGCCTGTCCCTCGGGACCTAGAGGAAAGGTTGGCGTTGGGACTGGACTGTTTCCACTTGGTGAGCATCTGGGCTCCCACTTCCGCTTCTCAAGTCCACATAGACACATATGACTTCTGACTGCTCTCTTGGAAACATGTCCACCCAGTAATACTATCACACACATTTTTAAGTGTGAGCTTGCTCTCTGTCTATACTGAGTTCTAGGGCTTGTTATTCAATTTAAGCATGGACCCAACCTTCTGCCCTCTGCTTACATTCCTGGAATAGCCTGTTCTACTGGAATTTTTGTTAGGGGGTTCTGTTTAATCGTTGTTCAGTTCATAGACCTTGGAACCAGTAAAAATAAACCAGTTTCCTGCTATTCTTCCAGAAGTAGTTTCCTTTCATGCTGAAACATTTAGGTATTTTTCCCTTTGAAGAAGCATACTGCGGTAGGATTCTAAGATAGGTTCTGCATTGCAAATCAGGTCCTGCAAGTTCAGGTCAGTTGCCTAAGCACTGCTTCCAGTGATGTGGTCCTGGGGTGGTACTCATCCTCTCCCCTGATGCAGTTCTCACAGCTGCTGGAGGAGAAGAACACCCTCTCCATCCAGCTCAGCGAAGCCAGCCAGAGTCTCCGCAAGAACCATCATCACTACAGTGACCTCTCCAAGCACTGCGCTGTCCTGGAGAAGCAGGTGCAGGAGCTGCAGGCGGTAAGGCAGTGGCAGGAAGTGCTCAGAGTGATAGCTAGGGAATGTCACTTCCCTACACAGTGGAAGGCTCTCAGTTTGCACACACACAAGGTGTCTGAAGAGCTTCCATCACAACTGCTCTGCTGTTGTTTTTTCTAGGGGCCACCAAATGTAGATGATGTTCCAGGAGCGCCCCAGGAAATGAGAAAGAGGGATCCGGAAGCCACAGGAGAGCCACAGCCAAGGTAGAGGAGCAGGATTCTTCTCCACACATACACTGTGTGCAAAGACAGTGGTGGTAGACAAGAGAGGATGATGGGTGAATGTGATAAAAAGATCTTATCTACATGTATGGAAAGGTCATAATGAAACCTATTGATGTGTATGGCCAGTGTATGCTATTTTAATGAAATTGGGTTGCAATCTTGGTGGAGCAGAATTCACCGTATACTCTTGGTGAGTCCTAGTATCTGACAAGAGTCACGGAGTGATGTAAAGATTGAATGCAACAGTACCTGACAGATGTTGTGCAAGAAGTGAACAGTGCTTGTAACACAAGTGCACACACACAGCACTACAAACGCTAGAATTACAGCTGCTCCTGCAGGCTCGCATCTCCCCATAGGTATTTTCCGCTGTAATTGTTCTGTAGCTGGACTTCTGTGTTAGTTTAGTTTTCCTATTTGGGGAAATGCTTCCGCCTTGTGGCGATCTATTCAAGATCATGTCTTCCATCCACTGATGCCCTTTGCCTGCCTTTCACCCTACAGATTGTCTGAAGTCCAGCAGCAGCTCTGCAGCACGAAACAAGAAGTGAGTGAGTTAAAGAAGCTGCTAGAAGAAGAGCGAGACCAAAGATTGGCCGTTGAGAATGCACTCTCTTTGGCCGAGGAGCAGATCAGAAGGTAAGGCGTGGGGAGGCGCTTTCTGCTCCCTTGTCACCCTCCCTGGCCTCGCTCCTGCACATTTCTGCAACCAGGCTCAGGGTGAGTTAAGATCTTAATCTCCCCTTGACTTAATGCGGTCCTAGAGCAACTTGAGAGTCACCACCAAGAAGCAGGGTACCTGTGGAGTTTTGGAAGCTTGTGCTTTCCGGGGCAGTAGTTCGCAGGGGTTAGAAATGTTTTTCCCATCCCTATTACACAGGAAGCTTATGTAAGGTGTCTTACTTCATCCCAGCAGTAACTATGTGAGGTACAAGCTGGGTTCTTGTGTGTGTGCATGTTGGGGGCAGGAGGACAAGGTCAGAGGACAATGTTAGGTGTCTTGGCGTATCCCTTTCTGACATATTCCCCTGAGACAGAGTCTCTCATTGAACCTGGCACTTGCTGTTTTTCAGTGACCATCCTCCTGCCTCTGTCTTCTCCCTAGCCCTGGGGATTGCAGGTGCACACAATCAGGCAGCTCTCACATGGCTGCCACGGTGGGAATGCAGATCCTCATGTTTACAAAGCAAGCGCTCTTCCCCCCTGAGCCATCTCCATGACCCCAGGGTCAGAGTCTTTCGAGGGCCAAATGAATGCATTCTCATCACCTGTCTGATACCCAGACCTTTGTTTGCTTGTTTTTAAGACAAGGTCTTTCTACTTAGCTCTGGCTGGCCTGAAACTTGATTTGTAGACCAGGCTGGCCTTGAAGTCACAGAAATCTACCTGCCTCTGCATCCCAGTGCTGTGATTAAAAGTGTGTGCCCTACACCTTGCTAGGCAATTGAAATTTTAAAGATTGTAGCCTAAGGGAAATAGAAGAGCACTTAAGAAAGAGTGTGGCTTGATTTATTGGCAATGCACTGCCTAACCTTGAACCTCCCTTTGCCAGTCACCTCAGCTAGGAGGGCATGGATGTGTGTGATACTGTGGGCCCTCTTCCCCGAGTGTGATTGGAAGGACACAGCTGGGTACTGTCGGTACTTATTCCACATCAAGGAAACCGGAAGTCACAGTGTGTGAGAAGGTAGTAAGGCTACAAGTGTTCTGTTGCTGGAATCCCCTTTACGTGGAAAGAAACAGCAGGCGCCCCCATGTGTGTAAGGGAGTCACTGTGTCTGCCGTCTCCTCCCTCAGAATAAACGGCACTGGGGATGTTTCTGCCTTCTTGCAGTGCCTTCCCCAGGGAGCAGGTCTGAGCTGAGATTTCCTTCTTTCCCACCCAGCATATATACAGCTTTTTGTTTTCCGCACCGTCTAGGTAGCCTTGAGGGTAGGCTCTACGGGAACTCAGTGCAGCTTGTGTAGTGGCCTTGCAGAGACTTTCAGACCTATTTGTTCATGGCCGTTTCTCTGCCACTTATGAGAAACCTGGTCCATGGGGAGGCTCGGGACAACTTGAGACAGCTTAGTCAGGATGAGTCTGGAGCCTGTGTCTGGACCACAGTAACCTAAGGTTAGCCTCTCCCCGTTTCCCTCTGACTGAGAGCAGAATGGAGACCAGGTGTTGGTGATGCACACCTTTAATCCCAGCACCTGGGAAGCAGAGGCAGGTGGATCTCTGTGAGTTCGAGGCCAGCCAGGTCTACAGAGCAAGTTCCAGGACAGACTCCATAGCTACATAGAGAAAAGCTGTTTCAAAAACCAAACCAAAACAACAACAACAACAAAAAAAAAAAACCCAGAATGGAGAGCAGGGCGACTAAGTACAGCCCACCTGGACCAGGTTCAGATTAAGGCGTTTCCTCTCTGCTGAAGAAGAGAGCGGTCCACAGAGAAGTGTCCACTTGATGGAGGTTCCCTGTGTGGGGAAGAAACATGAAGAGGAAAGGGCTTTGCCTGCGCCCCATGCCAGTTAAAACGTCTGCCCTGTAGGCAGATGAGTGGCAAATGAGCCCTGGGAAGTAGAGCCAGGAGAATCCTAAGTTCAAAGCCAATCTGGGCTACATAGTAAGCCCCTTTCTCAAAAACAAACAAAAAGCCAGGGTGGGGTGGAGAAGGAAGGGGAGAGAGAAATGAGTGAGTTTCTGAATGAAATGTGGTGGTGGGGGGGAGAACACGAGGATAAAGACAAACGGGCATTGGGGTCTAGTTCTGTTGATGGTTAGTCGTTCTTCCACGGGTAAAACACTAACCAGCTTCCCAGCCGGAAGCACTCAAGCCGGCATCCTAAATACGCAGTTCCGTTACTACTGTGTGGCCTGGCCTATGGGAGAAATCTCTGCTGCCAGTCCCCTAGGCCACCTTCCAAGGATGGCTGGGAAGATTCTCATGCAGGGGACATGTGCTGTATCTTTCTCTCAACACAGGCTGGAGCAGAGTGAATGGGATTCGGCCCGGACTCCTATCATTGGTGCCTGTGGCGCTCAGGAGACATCAGTGTTGATAGACATCCCGGGCAGCAGCTGCCGAAGGGTAAGAGGGAAGGACGCAGGGAGAGCTCTGCGGTGGGACCGGGCTGAGGTACGGAGATGGGCAGTGTTATTGGTGGTCAGCCACTCGTTTTGTTGTTGTTGTTTTGTTTGTTTCAGACCCGGAGTGGCGCTGGATGGAAGCGGGTTCTGCGTTCACTCTGCCATTCCCGGACCCGAGTGCCACTTCTTGCAACCATCTACTTCCTGATGGTTCACGTCCTCCTCATCCTGTGTTTCACAGGTCATCTATAAACTCCTCACTCGACCACAGCTCTCAGAACTTGTAATTCCTCCATCTCTAATGTCAGAATTGTAGTTTTTAGAACAGCCTTCCCACTTCCAATCCATCTGCATCTCCTTGGAAAGTTCCCATAACAACAGAGGTGGCTGTGAGGACAGGTTAGAACGCAAGGCCTGGTGCATCCTGTTTTCTGGATGTCCCTCCATAGGGGTCCTGAAGCCACTCGGGAGCTGGAGCATCACAACTACGGCTCGCGGGTGAGAGTTATTCTGTCTTCAATGCCATTGTCACCCGGCTCTGCGGACAGGGCTGAGGCAATGGGAAGAGAAGACAAAACAGCTGATCCAGACCTGAGAGCAGTGGTCACGAGTGACACCACTGTGCCTGTCCTCCCCTTGCTTTCTCATTGTGGACATGATGTCTTCTGTGCTCATCACCTGAAGAAGGGCGAGGACTGGTGGTTCACCGATCAGCTCTGTGTTCTATGGTGATTACATTTTAGTCACAACATCCCAAGGACTTTCCTGAACTATTGTAAAATAATAAAGTGTTATTTTCAGAATGAAGATTTGTGTGAGGCCGTCTGACGGCACAGTTGTTACGTACCTGTGTCTGCACTCTGGAGAGTGGAGGGTGGAGGGATAGTTCCCGGAGTACTAGAGTCCTGAAAATCCTCCCTTCTCACTGACCAGCCTCAGAGGGCTGTGAGCATCCTTCTAGCCTCAGCTGCTGGAGCCAAGCAGACGAGGTGGGGGAAGAAATCCATCCCGAGACTGAGTTAAAGGAGCAGAGTGCCAGGGTGAAGTCCTGAAGCCTTGTGTATAGTTCCGAGAGAACACTGGAAGAGGTTAGCCACCTGACTGCACTGAGAAGACAGACAGGAAATGAGAAGTTCGGGGTCAGTCTTGTCCGTATAGTAAATTCAAGATAGCCTGTGCTACATAGCGGCACTCTGTCTCAGGAGAAAACAGCACAACAGCAAATCAGTCTTCTAGGACACTCAGTGTAGGTGTATTGTAGCTCATGAAGGTCGGGTGGGTGTAATTACGCTTTTGTATGAAGTTGCTGCTTGGGAAAAGCTGGCCGGCTATCTCAATATACAAGTGGATTTTGAACCTGATCTCTTTGGTTTCAAAGCTATTCCTGCATGTTAGACTGCACTCAAGGGATGAACGGTGGATATCTGTAAAGGGGAAATGAGTTCTCTCGGTCTCATCTCTAAAGTCCTACAGTTTCTCCGGAGAACTGCATTGCCATATGATGTGTTACAATGTCTGCTCTGATACTCTAATTCTGACATTGGATTAGAATTCCAAGTTAGCTAAAAGATTTTCCCTTTCCACATTTTTCTCTATTTTAAAACAGCTTTAGCAGAACAAATAAAATGCCCCAAGTTCAGCATCCATTTGGAAAGGACCTTAGGAGCTTTCTGTTCTCCTGCAGAAATGCCTCTGCTCTACTGCTGAGATGCTCTCTTCAGTGCAAGACTGGTGAGACCAGTCTGAGCCCCTTTCTGGGATCATTATCTCTAAGCCTGTCAGGTCACAATTCCACAGCCCACCAAGATCAGAAGAGCCTGGGTCAGATTCAATAACTGGAATTCAATAAAGTCTTAGGATGATCTTGAGACTTTCTGTGCATCCTCTTTGTCACTGAGGGCCTCAGGCTGCCAGAGGAGTCTCCCTGGGGGATTATTTGTAAAGCGGCCACAGTATAGGCCTCCAACCTCTCAGTGGTCTTCCCCTCAGAAAGAGTCTATTTCATTGGACCAAACAAGTCACCTGGGCACGTCTGACTTGAAGATAGAAGGGAAGGGCCACAGCTCTTAACAGCAGGGAGTGTGTCAAGAGTTCACAGCTCCTGCTTCTTGGAGAAATTCATCTGGAGTCAGACTTCTGTCAGTGAGCTCAGGCTCCACACAGTTTCCCAACAAGCTAGGGAACTTTCTCCCTTCTTTCCCGTGACTTATCCTTTTGACATCAGTTCTGTGTGAGCCTCATTGTCAGTTGCTATAGGTAATAAAGAGGTGTTTTTAAGGCTTGCCCTTCAAGATTCACATACATCTCTTGATTGCTCCAGCCCACATCCAATGTTGTTTTTGTTTTCCTCCCTCAGACCAGACCTTTACAACAGTGTTGTAGCCCAGGCTACACCCGAGTGCTGGGATCACAGATGTTTGCCACCACAGCCCACTGACTTATTCTGAATTCCTTTACTATCCTAGATGCAACTGTCCTACTTAGGACACAGAGTGGTCCTAGAGCATTCTTGAACGTGACTTAACTGTTAGGGATGTGGCTTAGATGTGGTCATTTTTATAACTATCCCATGATTTGAAAAAACTTTTCAAAACACTATACACAGAAATGCTACTTAAAGCTTTGGGAACTGACTCGAACTTCAGGAAGTAGCCATGAGGACAGTGTGGCAGGACATGACAGAAAACCTGGAAACAGAACTGAAGCCGCTGCTCAGTTTCTTGCCCTGAAGTGGCAGCAGCTGGTGGGGGTGCCAGGTGTGGATTTGAAGAGCTGGAACTGGGAGCTCGAACAAACAGTAGTGAAAGTGGGTACTCAGAGTTCTGGGAGACTTGGGCGCCCAGAGAAGTGTGGAAGAGAAATCCACGTAGCACTTAATTTGCTAATTGGTGCTGAACTTGTGACGGCCATCAGGTCTGCGGGCAATGGTTGACAATGAGCATGGGAAGATAGGAACAAGGAAATGGCCTGCACTCAGGGATGTGATTGGTCAGCCATCTAGGACCGCCGGCCCAGCCAAGTATGCCCTGGCTTTTATTGAGGATCTACACATGCCACTCTAAGGGCTGGCTGGCCCTGGGCACTAAGCTAAAGGAGTCCCACAGAAGATGAGGACTGTTGTGCGGTCTCTCAGGGCACTAAGCTAAGGAGTCCCACAGAAGATGAGGACTGTTGTACGGTCTCTCAGGGCACAAAATGCACATGGGGGATGTAAGGGAGCAGGAATTAACCCACGTGAACACTGGTGCTGAGCCAAGTGCTTTGAGGGGCCAAATGCAGGCATGATTATCCAGCTGGGGTAACTCTCTGTGTTTGTGGGAATCCCAGGGTGTCGGAGACAGGCAGCTATGCTAAGCCCTTCATTATTTAACATTGGGGAACAAAATTGCAGGAATCAGGGAGTTGTCAAAGTTAATATTTGTGAAGTGCTTAGTCTAGTATCTGGCTAAGAGGTACATTCTCTGTGTTGCATGACTTGCTGGGGTCCCACGGGGGCTGTCATATTACTGAGGTGTCTGTGGATTATTGCTGTCATAAGTCAACACTGTGATCAGGCACTGGATGTGCTGGCATTCTCTGTCCTTCACCGGGTTATTCTCCAGCCTTCCGCTTCAACTTAGCAACCTTATTGATGAGTCATCAACAGTACGAGCATATTATTTTGATCTTAAGAAGTGTGTGAGATTGATGGGAGAGATGGGCTGAGGCCAGGGGGCAGGGGTTAGAAGGACAAAAGATGAGACCATTGGACCTCACTGCTTCCTTATTGCCCATGAATACAGGTGACTTCTTTCCAGGTTCACTCTGTTGCAGAACAGCGCAAGAGCCAGGCCATGTCAAAGAGAGGCCATAGGATGTGGTTCACAGGTCATCCTTACCTGTGCTAACCTCTATCAGTAGCTACTGCTAAGTAAGGAAGGCATTGTTCTCAGTAGCTCAAGTGACTCTCGGCCTGGTTAGCTCACCACTTCCCTAGCTGCACCTTAGCAGATCTTTAATTCCCCTCCTCAGATTCCCCCAGGGATCATCTTCTGGGGTTGTTAGGAAACAGAGGCAAGGGTGGAGGTTTCCAGGTGCATCTCCGTGGAGACTTGGGGCCTAAATGGACAGAGTCCTGCAGATAGGTATTGAAGAGTGTCTCCTCTGGGAAACAGTGATGAACACCAGAATGGCCTCCCAGGGGTGGAGGTCCCTGAGGAAGAAGGATGAGCAGGGACTTGACAGCGGAGCCAGGGAATCTCAAAGGCTACCAGAGCAGATGGGCACTGCCCCTTGTTACCTTGCCACGCCACTGTTCAGAAGCCCACAGTGTGACTAGGCAGTTCCTACTCACACTCCCTTGGCAAGGCTCAGGAAAACATGAGTATCCAGTGGAGGAATGATTGGTCCCCCTGCCAAACTAGTTTTCTCCAAAGACTTCTGCAATGTTTACTTGGTTGGTAAATCCCACGTGTTCCAAAAATGGGATCTGTTACATGCTGTGTTTGAATATATGTATCTTTAAATACAGTTGAACAGTGTTTGTAACTGAGTGATAAAACATAAAGCCTTGGTGTTTTCTCCCTTAGAAAATGGAGATTCCTGTCAATGTTTCCCCATGCATCACCTAGGGTGGGTCTTTGAACCAACTGTCCCGAAGCTCTTCCGTGAGTGTCTTAGGGTGAATGTAGGACCGTATCCCATGGACAGGTGAAAACAATTTCAATGTAACTAAGCAGATTACAGACAGGAGGGACCTTGGACTCGTTTATGTCCTGACAACTAGAAAGGAAACCATGGGTAAATCTGAGGGAAATGCCACCCCAATCCTGCAGAAGGTGTTGTCCAATACTACAAGCTGTGGACGCAGTGAACGGTCCCGGCACGCTGACAGAGGTTGCTGTGTTGCCTACATCTGCACTGACTTCCCTCCAGATGTGGGTGGACTCAAACGACTCTGGTTTATTTTAAATAACTTCCGCTCCTTTCTCTTCTAACTGAGATGTCTCCCTAGAAGTTCTATCTGCTTTGTTTCAGCTCTTGTTTTCTTCTAAGAACGATGAGAAACATTCGATTGCTTGTGTAGTTGGCTTCAGCATTCTGATCATCCCTCCTCTCAGTTCCTCTCTCCGTCCTAATTATTCCCATCATCTGCCACCATCAGATGTGGAAGTCTGTAGTGGAGCATGACGCTCAACCACACCAGTACCAGGCGAGCACTTATCCTCCACAAACTTATACTACCCAAACATCTCAGCCTGCTAATATACTGTGCCCCTGGTGCCCAGCCTGGAATGGCTCCAAGCCAAGCTGCTGCTTACCAACCCAGACCAGGTTTTATGCCATCTCCTGCGGGTACCATGACCCCTCCTTCCAGTGCGCCTAACCCTTATGCATGTAACCGTCCTCCTTTTGGTCAGGGCTATACCCAAGCTGGACCCGGTTATCGATAAGGAGGTTCAGCTACACTATTGATGGCTAATTGCTTCCCAAAAGACTACAATACTATTTTGTTTCAATTTGTACTGTATTGAAGTTCAAAAATTTAAAAAGCAGAGCAATTTTTATGATATCTTGTTGCTATTAATTAAAAATATAATTTGATGGAATACAAACACAAAAAGACCAAAATGAACATGTCTCCTCCCCTGCTTAAAATTGTAGCAGCTTCCTAGTTATTTTGGAACACTATTGCGTGTAAAATGATTGGCTTTCTAGTTCCCAGAGGATATTAAAAAGCTAGGCTGAGGTTTAGCCATCACACCTGGCTGTTTACTATTAACATGATGTACTAAAAATAGAGCCCTTTGAGAAGATGACTAGACATTATGTATAAATGTAACATTTATAGGCTAATAAAGGTATAAAGGTGATTGAATCCAATAGTGGTCTTGTAATTTAATAATTAATTATTTCAGATATAAAGAAACTAGTCATCTTATTGGTATATGGTCTTCAAAAAAATTTATGAAATTGATTTCCATTCAGGGAAAAATATATATAACATATTTGATTGACTTAGAATATAAACACAATAGGGGTTTGGTAGCTCTTAATTTTTGATTTTTCCTTATGGAGTTAAAGATGTATTTACATATTGGCAAACTACTCAGAACATTTTAAAAATCACTTTTTAAAAACCTATATCTTTTTATTGCAGAGTTTATATTTGCTTGAAAAGTACAAAATGTAGCATTGATAAAACTGGAGCATATTGAAAGATACACATAAAGAAAAGTTTTTTCAGGGCAGGCAATAATATTCTTGCTCCCTCCCAAAAATATGTACTCCCGCTTCATAACGAGTAAGTTTTGTTACAGCATGAGTAAACAGTGTCCACAAAACAACCTCTGATACATTCATTCATGGCCTTAATGTATAAATATATAATATATCATTTAAAACAATAGCATCTCACATGCGTTGTCTTTCCATGCTGACTTCACACTCAGTCTCTACATACAGCTTGAATAGGACCACAGAGCCGCTCAAAAGAATGTTAAAAGGAAGAGTTTGAGAAAGTATTTTTAGACGTAATATTATGGGTACAGAATCAAAACATCAAAATTTATCATTTGGCACGTCAGATTATCAGCTGTTTGGTTGAGATAAAATTATATAGATTTTTCTTTTCAGTAATTTGCTGGCAGGTTATGGAGAAGTGAGCATGAATCCATAACTATTCAAATGCGAAAATCTGTTCATCTGTGCTAACAAATTGAAGTTTACATAATTTTAAATATTAGAACCACTTTCTCTCACGTGTCTACGCTGAAGATTATTTGATCCAATAAGTTAAACCATAAGTAGAGATTTATGGGATTAACTCACCACCAACAACACGTACACATTCATAAAGTAAATACTTTTTATAAAGCATATTAAAGATTTTTTGACATTAATTTTGTTATAAAAGTATCTGAAAACATTACAACAGTGTGATAAATAATATACAAATGTTCTCTTAAAATATCATGACTAGGGAGCCCGCTTCCCTAAAAAATGTTATTCTATTAATGTTAATATCTTGCTTTCTTAAAGCATCTTTGTAAACCTGATAAATCGTCTCAGAAATCTTTTCTAACAATGAACATCGAGTGCTGCTCTCATTTGGGCTGCAGACTTTTATACACAGTAAACAAAAGAGCTTGGAGTGGGGGGTGACAAACACCGTAGGCTTTCCAAAGGGTTCTTTGTTCCTTTGGAAACAGCTGTGCTGCAGCTACCATTTCCCAGGAATTGTGGTCCCACACTCGTACCACTGGACATAATTGATTTGGGTGTGCCCGCCTATCTCTCCAAACTGGACAGGTTCCTGACGAACGGCTCTGAAGTAGCCTAAGAGGAAAAAGAGTTTATTTAGTGTACTAGATCTTTCATGTCCTTGTTCACACCCTTCACAGATAGAAGGCTGTTCAGTGTAAAGGTTACTCCGAGTGAAGCAAAGCAATAGAGAAAACTAGTAATTATAGAGGATCTGATACTTACCCAGAAACACAATGACCCTAGGACTTAAAAGCTTGCCATGTGTCTTAGCAAGTCAGTACTATAAGAGTAGTTTCAGCAGCCTCTTGATGTCCCCGTGTCTTGTACAGGCATCTTTTAAGAGGCTTGGTATTTTTGTGTTCATGAACAAAACACGTTACTAAAAACCTCAAATAGGTGTTTCCTGAGTGATCTGGACAATGTCCACCATTCTGCTCTGCTGAGGCAAGAGTTAAATTTTCAGTCCTCCCTACACAGTCTGCTGCTAATATGTACTTAGCAATTTGCTGAGTATATTCACTTCTCAGACTTATCATAATTGTTTTATATAGATCATTTTAAGGAAAATACTATGCTTTCCTTGTATGGTAGAAACAATTTTTAAGGGCGCAAAGAAGATGTCCAGGCATGTTTCATCTGACTGGAGCTGTGAGGGACACTGACTGGGATACCAGGAGGGCTGGAAACTTGGGAAAGATTTTCATTTTCTCAGAATACATTTATATATCTAATATTTCTAGATCTGTGCTTGAATCGAGAGCTAAGTTTCTTCTTCCCCTAGTGACAGAGTAGCAGTTCTGTAGCCATTTCCGTCAACTTATTGCTTTCCTTGCTAATCTGCACAACCCTCTGCATAGGATGGTCAGAAAGCATACCTTCTTTGGTGGGTAACTGGTCAGAGGCTAGCTGCTGTCCCGTGCGGCCATCTAAAAATGAATCCACAAACTGGCAGTGATCTTCTCCATGGCCCCTCTGATCTCCTATGTTGTAAAACTTTCCTGAAGGACCAGAAATGAAACAATGTCCTTTTCTTTAATGTATGGCAATTCCATAATTAATTATTTCAAAGAATGGTTTTGCTTTTCTTTTCCCTAACTTCCCAGAGGAAAAGCCACAAGCATCTCTTGCACTAGGAAAGGTTTCCTAGCTGATGTCCTTGCTAATGTTCTCCTTTCCCCTTCAGATCACAATGACTTTTATAATGCAAGTTATTACTCTATCCATAATTCTCCCCAGCAATCTCCCGTTATTCTCAGAAGACAACTTCTTTTTAACTAAATCTCAGCCAAAACTACTGTATGTCTTGCCTCAGGCCTTCACACTTCTTTTCCTCTACCTCTCCAGAGACCCTTTGCTCTAGACTCTTCTGTTGTTGATTTCTTCTTAAAATTTATTCTAAGCAGACATGATACCTTTGCACACAGACCTTCCCTAAAACTAAAGGAGCCTCCACTTCTGCTGAGCCATTCTGTGTCTTTGTGACATTCTTGGGTAATTTACATGTTTATTTAATGTGTCTCTCCTATACGAAAGCAGGAATATGGCATTTAGTACTTTGTCACCCACAAAACCCAGAATACAACCTGATGAATGAATGAGGGACTACAAGGTTTTTACTATATGAATATTCTAGAAGAGACATAAACAAACATAGTGCAGGGGGTTTGAGCCCTTCTGGCATTTTAAGGATATCACATTCCTTTCATGATTAGTAGTAGGGTTTTAATTCTTGGGTGGTTGCGACAGTACTGAGCTTTGCTGGGCAAGCACCTGCCTATGCATTGAAGTTGGTCATGGTGTCCCTATTTTATGTTGCATTTTCATTATCTGCCTCCAAATCGCAGATCTAAGTCCTTGTTTCTAAGATTAGTTGTTTTACCTATGTCTGTAACATTTTCTGAAGGGAATTTGTATAAAGTGCTGAGTCTGAAATGTCACAGAAAGGCTAGGGTAGTGGAACATACCTGTGAGGGAGTCGCTTAAATAAATCTTGTATCTCAGAGAGTTACACAGCTGGACTCCGACAAATTTCTTATACCATGTCCTTTTAACATATTGTTTGCCTTTGCATTCAGAGTAAGAGTCGGAATTAAAGGGTCTTTCGGTCCAGATGGCGTCTCTTCCTGCTGCATGAGGAAAACACATGATTTGGGTTCAGTGTTTAACTCTGAAGAACTAAACGCTTTACAACAAAAGCAGCCTGCAGACTTCTTTGCCCACTTCCTGATACCTCATTTCTTTACTGCATTAAATACTGGGGGCTGAAAATGTTTGAAAGGGTTTAACAAACTCCAGTCTAAGTTTCTGTCACTAGTGAAATTGTCACTCAGCAATATCTTAGTATTGCACTAGTGTCTGCCGTGTTGGTTTGTAGACACATTTGGGGCTCTTTTTTGCAGCATAATATAAATGGTTTTTTGTTTGTTTGTTTGGTTGGTTGGTGTTTTTGTTTTTTCAAGACAGGATTTCTCTGTAGCTTTTGGAATCTGTCCTAAACTCCCTCTGTAGACCAGGCTGACCTCAAACTCACAGAGATCCTCCTGTCTCTGCCTCCAAAGTGCCAGGACTAAAGGCGTGCACCACGACTGCCTGACTCAACATAGTATAAAATTTAGTGTGAGCAAATTAAACAGATTTTGAGTGAACTGGTATATGAGTTAAAGCAAATTTCAGCACTGTCCCAATGAGTATTAAGTACTTATATATTTAAGAATGACACCTCTTTTATCTTTCTAGATAGAAAGATGCTCAACTCAAGTTTGCTGTGCTTACCTAATTTTGGAATGTATAGTCCCCATTGAGACTGGTACTTACCAGAAATTGGCTCACTCACTCTTGGGTCAGCTGAGGAGAGACAACACACATGGAAGAATCTTTTAGATAAAGTTTTACTATTACAGTATTATGGTGAAGAAGGCAGGTCTTATTTACATGATGTACAATCTTGCTAAAGCTTGAATCTGAAAGTTTCTTTTGTTTTGGAAATGGTTGTTGATCATCCTTCAGATATTCAGTGGCATCTTTGACACATGATTTGAGTAGATTTGAGCATAGGTTGTTCTAGCTTTTTCAAAAGCCTTCTCATTTAGTTTTCTACAAAACTATTAATTGTAAAGTTACCAAAATATGATATAGTTTAGAATTATGCAAATTTGTCTGCACATACAGATTTTTATTGAGAACTGAAGCTTGGAGTGTGCAGATAGTTTCCCAGAACTCATAACTTCCCTTCTCTGATGTACCTGATGGACATTATTCTCGGCATGCAGGGAAACATTTGAGTACTATATAATAAGTACATCTATTAGCTTCTTCTCAAGGGCTACAGAATTCAAGACACTCTGGGTTTCAAACAAGCTCCTTCTATGCCAATACTTGTGATTATGTCCAGTCACATCCGTGTGGATCACTACTGACATGATTACCTGATTCAGTACTGAATGCCACCGTCTTGCTGGCAGGGCCTTCACCGAGTGGATTTTTGGGTTTCACCTGGAATTCATAGCTGCATAAGGAGAAATAAAAACAATAGTAACATCTTTGAGGGCTTTAAGGAATGACATTTTTCTGCTATACTACTGTTTCTTTTTAAATCATGACAATTTCAGGCTTTACTTTCTCAACATCTTGTCTAATACTTCATTTGAGAAAAACATTAATGAAAGTTAGAAATCACCAGGCAGGTTTCTCTAGGAAAGCTATGTGGTGACCACTCTCATTCCGGGATAAGGAGCCTCCCTTTGCTCCAGATGTCCCCTGCCAGCCCAGTGTTGCTCATTGTGGTATTGGAATCACAACACAGAGTGGTAATGGGGAAGATTTTTTTTTAAATGCAGATTATTTGTCCTGCCTCCGCCACTGAAAATGAAGACTGAGTTACTGGGATGAATTCTGTGGCCCCTGGTTCTGAGAAATGCAAGAAAGGAGACACATGAGGATGTCTGATACAGATCACAGGAATCCAGGCTGTCCAGAAAATGGGCCCACTAGTGTCCTGAGAGCATGAACACAAAGCCTGAGACTTTGTTCTCCCTCTGCTCAGTAAGTCAGGCTCAGACTGCTCAGGTCCTTTCAAAAAATGTAGAATTGCCTTGGCTCAATCCTTATTTTATGAGTGAGTCATAAAATTGTGTATAGTTGACAAATCTTTCTCACAAGCTGTATAAACTGCAGATCCCCGTAAAAAGCCCAGAGCAGGAAGCAGTGCACATCTGTCTGAAACTGACTTCCTGCAGCAGAGGGCACAGCTGCATTTGCTCTCAGGCTGACTTGGCCTGAGTCAGCAGGTAGTGCTTTGTGATCTTTGCAAGGTTTGGCAGATAAAGGTCATCTTTGAGAAGCTTATCACAAAGTAAGAATGCAGCCCACACAAGGTAAGTGTTTGATAAGTGAGAACCAGCAGGGTTGCCGAGGTGCCCAGTTGGGTGCAGATGGTGCAACAAGGGAAGTGGGAGGCTCCATGGAGTGAGTTTCTGTACTGGTAGATCACTTCTGGAGGGTTGTAGGACAGATTCCAGTTCTTACACGACGGGAACCACTTTTTAAAGTCCCTACCATGTGTCATACATGGTCATTCTGCATTTATAAAGTAATCAACACACAAACCCTATGAGGTACTCCCCCCAAGTCTCATCTCAGGCCAGTGATGTTTGTAACTATTGTAATATTTTGACTTTTCCAAACTTGAAATAGTTGTGAAATAGAATTCAAGCTTCCCTTTCAGTTCTTAGCTACATGTAGCTATGCCATTACCATAAGAGAATGCCAGGCTGGGAGAGTGGCATGCAAGTGTGAGAACCGGTGTTCCAATCCCTGGAACCCGTATGGAGCAGGGCTGAGGGTGGAGGCAACGCATCCAATCTGTAATCCCAAATTCAGTACTTCTGTAGCATGGTAGGAGGTGAAGACCATCTCCAGAGACCCACAGGCCAGCTTGCATAGCCACACAGCAGGAAACAACAAAAGTGGCCCCTTAATGTAGAAAGCCTAAGACCCAGAGCTGTCTGTCCTCTGCCCTCCACAGTGCATCATGGCATGCACACACACGATCTCACAGCTATATAAACAATGCTGGTCTGAAAACGCCTGTACCATTCACTTAAGTCCCATATGTGGGTATTTCCAAGGTTCTATGCTTTCTAAGGCTGGTGCCGACGATAACAAAACCCTCACCGAACTGGTGAGCTGAATACGGGAGGCAGTGGGGGTTGGATTCACATGGATCTGCAGTTTCACTGAGTAAGGGTGCATGTCATAGCTGTTCTAGGCCATGCCAGCCGACCCGAGCCGTGTCCAGATTGGACCACTGGATTCCTTTCCATGTCATTTTATTTCAGCTTTTTCCATTTGATCTCTACTTCTAGCATGGATACAGTTTCCATAACTTACTTTTTCTGAAGTTTTTCCCAATATCTTATGACACAAATTTGGAAGAAATAATTTTAAATTATGTTTAACAACATGAGGGCATGTTTTGGCTGGTTAAGCCCTATATAAATAAATAAATAAATAAATAAATAAATAAATAAATACTTTGTGGTGGCAAAATCTTTTCCAGAAAGCGCATTCTGTCACCTGAATGACACTATATGCATCTAAGAGTCAAGTCTCAAAGAATGACGATTGTACATAAATACAGGGTGCCACCTCAACATTTTAGCAAAGTTATTTGAATGAACATAGAAACCAAAAAAGACATTTAGAAGATAAAGTTGAGAATCTACAGATTCATAAAAGTCAGTTAAAAATAGAAAATTGGATTATTGAACATCCAACTGGCAGAAACTATAAAATGGGGACTTTAATCCTAGAGATTGTGTGAGAGATTTCCCTGAACTTAAAGGTGTTTGCTTTCAAGATGAAAAGACCTATTTTGTGCCCAAGAAGATGTGAAAAGAATTAAAAAAAAACTGAGAATTTTCAGCGTACCATGGTATAGTGGGAAAAAGCCCAGAACTGAGAGTAAAATAATGGGCTGTATTTGAGGGACCAGAATCATCATGGTGGTTAGATGTACATCAGGGCTAGAAGTTATGGAAACGTCCAATAACTCTTAGAAGGTCTTAATTTTATCACAATTTTATCTTAAAATCTACTTTCAGATGAACAAAAAGCCCCAAAGAAACATAAAGATATGTAAAGACTTATAATACTGTTTTTCATGTTTTTCCAATATTTGCTTCTTAGGAAGCGGTGGCAAGACTTTGATACATTAAAAGACTTTTTAAAAAAAATCTATGAATTATCTTAATAGGAAAGGATAACAAAGGGTAAAATTAAAAAACAATCAGCTACTGGAATAAAGTAAAAAAAAAAATGGTCCCAGAAAGTATGGTTTGCAGTTCCTGAGCTAATCTGTCAGAAGCAGGATGTCCGCCTCTAGGAGCTGCCCTGCAGCAGGGGTGTGGGTATCTCCATCACCTCCTCACCCATTCTCTCTAGACTTCAGTTTTGGTGTAAACTTAGAGCCGAGTTTCAGCTTTCACTGCTTAATCTACTTTTAGTTACATAACTCCCTACAGGTTGGAAAAGTTAGGTTAGCAAAATTCTCAAACCTCAAGTAAACTGCTTCTTATACAACTTGTTTTTATGCAAAAACACTCAGTGACTGACTGTCGGTTTGGACTGTATGACGGTTAGCTCATTTTACCCCTGCTGAGGTCTTGAAGTGCTGGAGACCCATTTAGGTGAGGTTTTCTGTCACAGGAAGAGAATCAGATTAAGTGGAATAAGAAAGAATAAGAGCAATAAGGAGACAGTTTTTGTGACCTCGTCTCAAGGACACTGGAAGGCTACAACAATTCAGGACACTTAGCAACATGTAACATCATTCATTGTGCAACACTGGGATACAGTTAAGGAGGTCAGGGCCAGAGAGGAGTCGGACACCTCAGTTAGGGACAGAACCTGCATGACAGCACACACCTGCAATCCCAGCCCCGTACAAAGCTGAAGCAGAATCACACATTTGAGGCCAGCTTGAGTAGCATACCAACTTGTCTCAAAAGGAAGGGAGGGGAAGAGGAAGTAAAGGGGCGGGGTGGAAATAAGAAGGAACAGAAGCGACAGAAGGGAAAATGGATGCAGAAATCATGGAGGATCATGACCTAGCTGCCCATTCTGCCCCGAGAGAAGTTTCTTGTGTCTTTCACTTTCAGGGGTCTGGGGTCAGAAACTGGACATTCTACAGTTGGGCTTCACTTCTAACTCTGGTGCTGTGATTTGCTAGATACAAGGAATTCTATAATAACAAGGCATGTAGTGATGACCACAAAACTGTTCTCTTTACAGACAAGTAGAGATCCGTACTTGGAGAACTCTTTGCATGGTGAGAAGTTACGAGCTGAGCAACTGCCTCCATTTCTTTCTTTAACAAGGACGGAATTATTCATCTGTTGCCCACACCTACAATAAACCTAAGTAAAATGCCTGATGCTTTGGCACATTATTTTACTTTATACCAAATCCATAGATGGTGTTGAAAAGTAAATAAAGAATTTGCAGAGAGCTGAATTCCACACAACCTGTCATGGATACTAATGGCTATTCCACACATCTGTTTTTGAGCCAGATTCACAGCTTCTAAGAAGTCGCTGTTGGTGTTGCAGCTAGCCATCAGTGCCAAGGTTTTATCAACTCTGTAAACAGGAGTCCCAAAATCTGGCGGGTTTTAGTCTTAGAGGAATGATTGTTCCCCAGAATCCTCCTGAGCCCAAAGATGTCAAATGAAGTGAATTTGATTTATTTTAATTACCAGACTCTATTTTCCATAGGAAACTGTTGGACCACATGTAATTCTGGCACACACAACAGATTCTTCAGTTTTTCAGTAGAGTAAGAAGAGAAGTAGGCTTTCTGGAACAAACCTGAGCTTTGCAGCCCAGGCGATCATGTGTGTCCATCTGTGTTGCCAACTAGTTCATCAGGAAGAACCCATAGCATCAATGTTACCAAACAAAGCACTTACCAGTTCATCTCAAGGCAGACTCAAAGACAAGCTGCTGACTGAGACCATTCACTATGGGTCTTGGTTGACTCTCACTGACTCTGCATGGCTTTGCCTATTTCAGGACTATGTGCCAGAAGACCCCAAAGATCAGCTAAGCCACACTGCCTGTCCCAATCAGCACTGGTATCAGATTGATGGTTTGAAGTACTACTTATCAGCTCCCCTATTGTAGAATTAAAAATAGTTGGTGGCCTTACAGATGCAGTGGCTTGCTCCCAGATGACTCTTTCTACAGTTTTACTTTCATTTCAACAAGAGCTCCATGTTTCCCAGAAGAGAAAGGACTGTGTTGTTCCTGGCCAATGGAAGGAAAGGAGATTTGGTGTGGAAGAAATAGAGGTAGTACTGGGGTGTGGGCTGGAGTTCTGATTGTGGTAGTTGAATGAGAAGGACCCCCATAGACTCATCTATCTGAACCCCGTGATAATTAGAATGTATTTGGCCCCTATAAGATCGTAGTGAGTGGCACTATTAGAAGGTGTGGCCTTGTAGGAGGAAGTGTGATCTTGGAGGAGGCTGGATGACACTTGCCTTTAATCCAGACCTTGAGGCTAGAGGGCACACTTTTAAGCTGGGCCACACCTTCTGTTGGAAGTGTGTCACTGGGGGTGGCTTTGAGATCTTTTTCTCAAGCTTCACTCAGTGTGATGGTCAGTAGACTTCCTGTTGCCTGCAAGATGTAGGACACTAAACTGTTTCTCCAGCCCTGTGCCTGCCTGCATGCCACCATGCTCCCTGCCATGATGGACCAAACCTCTGAACTGTAAGCAAGCCACCACAATGAAATGTTCCCTTTAAAAGAGTTACCATGGTCATGGTGTCTCTTCACGGCAATAGTAAACCCTAAGATAAATTCTCTGTCCTTAGTTGATGGACCTTTTTGGGAAGGATTAGGGAATGTGGCCTTGTTGGAGGAGGTGTGTCACTGGCATTGGGTTTTGAGGTTTCAAAAGACTCCTGGTATTCCCTTTTACCTCCTACTTGTAGAGAAAGATGCCAGCTCTTAGCTACTACTCCAGCACCATGCCTGCTTGCCCACTACCATGCCCCTTTCTATGATGGTCATGGACTCTAGCCCTCTGAAACTGTAAGCTCCCAATAAAGCTGTTCTTCTGCAAGTTGCCTTGGTCTTCATTTCTCTTCACAGCAATAGAAAATTAACCATGACACTGGTCAAACTGAAATCAACATTTCCAGAATTCTTGTTGTTTTTGAAGTAGTAATTGGGATAGGTTCTCTTCAAAAGAAGAGATAGCATTTGTCTTCAATCTCTAGATGTCTTTTGCCTCCCTTACTTCAAGGGATAGCTCTCTATCCCTGTGCACATTTGAGATCACAGTCCCTTGCTCCAGCAGGCTGTGGCCATGAGGCACCAGCCCAGAGACAGGAACATTTGACACCAGGTATGGAGTTAAGCCCTCTCATCAGCAAACAGTTGCTGGGTGACCCCTTAGAGAAAGTAAAAAATTGAGCTCCTGCATGGTAGATTGACATATGATGAAGTAATTTAGAACCAGCAGGGGACAGCTGGCTGTGAAAGAAGTGTGTGGTCCAATGTTACTTAGCTTCTAGAATAGAATTTCTAGCCCACACCAGTTTGCAAATTGTTAATCTCTGTTTCTATACTTCTTTTCTCTCTGGTTCACTGAACAGCACTAACCTTTACATCACCCATGAGATGTGTACAGATTGGCTACTAGATATCTTTCAGGTTTCAGATTTTAAAAATCAAGTCAAATAATAGAAAGCCTACTAAAATACAGTATTTAAACATTTCCTTGTAATATAACACAGCTATAGTAAAATACAGTATTTACACATGTCCTTGTAGTATAACACAGCTATAGTAAAATCCAGTATTCTAAACTGTAATCCAGTTTGCCTCTCTGCACTGTCACGCACTGTGCTATCTTCTCTGCCACGCTCTCTTCCCCACCAGCATCACCACGTAGAGCTTTTCTCTGCATCCTTGGGGGCCCAGTCCAATGCTCACCTTTTCCCTTTCCCAGGCTTTGACGAGTGTTCTTCCCCCACCCTCCACCTGCACTCCCTCAGGCCACTTCCAGAACTCTCCCCCTGCTGTGTAGAATGCTTAGGAATTAACCTTCCTGCTAGACTTGAGCTCACAGGCAGACACCACATGGGTTGCCATTTATAGCCCCTGCAACACTTACTACACATTAGTTAAATGGAAATGAGAAGCTTTGTCAAACAAATTTGGCTTCAAATGTGCCTGAAAAACCCGTTCTACATTTAGATCACGAACTAATAGGTGCACTGTAAGAAGCTGTGGGGACAGATTGATTCAGAAAAGGAACACAGCATACATGTACAAAGCAGAAGCCTTTCCATGAATATGGTGCACAGCACCGCTCACGCTATTAAATGGGATAAAAAGCAGGCAACTCAAAAGAGAAACTTAAGTTTTGTAGGCAAAACATATTAAAAAGGTCCAATGGAATAATGTTCTTTTAAATAATTGCCTTAAAATTTATTATGGTCAAAAAAGTGTTTTTTGTTTCGTTCTTTCAATCTTGCTAAGGAAACAGAATAGAGATCCACTGGGGCTTTAACTGACAAATAGTCTTATTTTGGCTAACTTAAATGTTTTGTGAAAATTAAAAGTTGAAACATTTTACAACTCAAAACAAGCACTTTAAAATCATATTTGTGCAAGAAATGCATTTTCTCAGTAAAGAGCAGAAGTTTATGCACAGTTAACCTCAGTTAATTAGTTGTTTCTTTTTCTCTAAAATGATGAGAAGAATGTCCCTCCTACCAGAGTTAAAAGAGCTTTGTTCTCTTGTCACTATCAATGCCCTGCTCAGCCCAATCAGAAGACGATGGAGAGGGCAAAGCAAAGGAAACCTAGAGAAAGAAAACCTCTTCCGGGAACTTCTCTACAGCTAATCAGAAATGTCCCAGGCCCTTACTCTTCTTTCAGCAACAAAATGAATTGCTGTTTTAGACTAAAAAGAGATTATAAAACTATACTGAAATATGAATGACCTTATGTTAATGTATTAACAGTATAAGATATGCAACTGATCACCAGGATCTATTGATCAAAGGATCTATTTTCCTTTTCAGTGTAAGAAGTCCCCAAAGCAAAGGGCTGCTGCTTCTGTGTGGTTTGAATGAGAACGGCCCCCATGTGCTCATGTATTTGAATGTCTGGACCATAGTTAGTGACCAGCTTGGAAAGGATTAGGAGGTGTGGCCTTGTGGGAGAGGTGTGGCCTTGTGGGAAGAGGTGTGTCACTGGGGGTGGACTTTGAGGTTTCAATAGCTCACTCCAGAAGCCAGACTCATCTTCTGCTCTTTCTGTCTCCATCCTGCTAAGCTGTAAGCTCCCAGCTACTGCTCTAGTGCCATGCCTGCCCCTTGTTATGTTTCCCACATGATGATCATGAACTTAGCCTCTGAAACTGTAAGCAAGGCCCCAATTAAATGCTTTCTTTTATAAGTCACCTTGGCCATGGTATCTCATCACTGTAATAGAGCAGTATCGGCCAATAGGGAGCTATTTTAAATAAAATCTTCGCATTTTGTCAAGTAGTTTGCTTCCCTTCCTTTCCCCATTCCAGCATCAGAATCAGGTCCTCAAGTCTAGTTTATGCCTTGCACACTCCATTTATCTCTAGTAAACAGACTGTTCTAAATTTTGATGTTAAAAAGTCAGTATTTGCATAGCCAGGCATTGGTAGCACACATCTTTAATCCCAGCACTTGGGAAGCAGAGATAGGTGGATCTCTGTGAGTTTGAGGCCAGCCTGGTCTACAAAGAGAGTTCCAGGACAGTCAGGACTGTTGCATAGAAAAACTCTCTCTCCAAAAACAAAAACAAACAAATAAACAAAAAGAACCAATATTTGCTAATGGCCTATTTTTAGGTTGTCATTTATACTGTTAATCTATAAAGGCATCCTATTAACTCCTTTATTCTTAACAAGAATATTTTGAAAATGTGATACAATATATTCAAAATCGCATTAAAGGAACCCAGAATTAAAGCAAGATCCTCCTATAAGGCAGAGGAGCTATCGTTCTGTTTTTTGTTGTGATTGAAGTTTATGCTGCTCCCAGAATTCACCCGGAATAGCACTGGGCCTTACCTTGTATCTGGTTTCAAGTTTTCTACTGTAGAAAAGGTTTGATTGGTAATTTGAATGGATTTGTTCTTCCCGCTGAATGACCCATTTTCTCTGGATATAACTTCATATTCTGAAAATGGAAGAAAACATCAGACACTTGTGTTATCTTTTGGTTGACCTAATTGGCTACAGTTGGAGAAACATGATCTTAATATATATATGGAGGTGGTATGTACATGTGCTTGCAGGTTCCTGGGACGTCCAGGAGAGGGTGCTGGATTCCTGGAGCTTAAGTTACAGGTGACTGTGAGCTGCCCAACTCGGGTGCTGGAAATCAAAGTTATGCGCTTAAAGAACAGGAAGTGCTCTTAACAGCTGAGCCGTTTTCTAGCCCCAAGATACCATGATCTCATCTTCCAGCAAGTTTCAGCCACCAGGTGGCAGAAGTTCTCAAAGCATTTGGGGACTGGAATACTAACTAATCTTGCTTTATCACAGTGGAAGAAGCTCTAATAACTGAAGACTGCTGGCCATTGCTTGGGATGCTTAGCTTAGTTTGGTAGAAAGTACAGTTTAGGCAAAGCACTGAATGAGGGACAGCGCTTGAATAGAAGCCATGTCTCTTGCTGTCTTCTTGGTGCGGAATGGGGTAAGTTATTCCTACTATCACAAATCGGACCCTAAAACTGGCAGCAGCAACAGTGAACCAAATAATAAAACCCCTTTATTGTTTGGAGCTGAGGAATTTGGATTTTGAACCTAATGCTTCTTTAAGTTATGGCTAGTTTTCTTTGCATTAAATAAAAACCTCAACCTTAGTATCTGCATAAATTTCACTTCAAGGCAGGTTTCCCTGAGCTTGCAGGGTTCACTCATCAACAGGGAAAGGCCTTCACAATGAGAGAATCTGACAGACATGTTAGCTCATTTCTCTGCTTCTCACTTGGGAATTAGAAGAACGGCTATCTGTGTTCCTTGAGCAGCTAGCTGGCAGGTTGTCCCATCTGAAATCAAGTGGTATTCCATGGAAACACCACAATTAAGTATGGAATCCATGGAGATCATTAGGAGAAACGGTCTGGTGTTTAAAGACAGACTAAGAGAACAATAGCTAAATGTGGCACTGTGGCTAAGGAGCTACATGTCATCCTCGGGCATGGGATCCTTAGTTGTGATGGATGCTGAGCAGCTCCTCCGCATCTACTAAGAAAATTATTATGAAGACAGTGGGTTAGGTATCTACAGTATATTCTGCTCAGGACTTGTTACATGAGATTTATATAACTTAGCCAAGTGGTGAGGCAGAGGCAGGTAGATCTCTGAGTTCGAGGCCAGACTGGTCTACAGAGTGTGTTCCAGGACAGGCAGGGCTACACAGAGGAATTGTGTCTCAAAAAATGTATTATCCAAATGGAGATGTACTAGAAATTAGGTATATCAGATTAAATAATTCCAACTTGATAGCTCAATATCTTCAGGGCAAACAAAATTCTGCTTATTATTTGGTCTCAGGAAACTAAAACTCTTAATAGCAAAGTGGACAGTCTAGAGTTTTACATGTTTGAATATATGATATGGATAATCAATACTGAAAGCTGATTGGCTTTTAATTAAGACTCAACAGATTCCCGGGGACACTGGTGGTGACACAGACTCTTTCTCAGAACAGAGGCTGCCCTTTCATGAGAAAGGAAACAAGAAATCTGACACTTCAGCCAAGATGACGATTATGTGGGAAGTTGCTCAGATCACAGGGTTTTGGAGAAGGAGAGACAATTGCCTTGTTCCCCTTTACCCAGTAGAAAATATTTTCTGCCAGATTCTGAGTCTCTTCACCCACACCCTTGTCCTCCATAGAGTTCTTGTCAACTTCAGACAGCTGCCGAGTCTATGCTTCTGTTCCCTGCACCGAGCCTACAGCAGGGGTCACATGGGCTCCACAGACTAGCATGTCCTCTAGCAATCCTGGACGTCAGTTTGTTTCCACTTCTTGTTAGACTCTCCTCTTCTCTACGTAGAATCAAAGTGTGCCACAAATTGTAACAAACTCAAAACTGACTCTAGGTTTCCTATTTTCCATGACCATTTATAGAGGAATTTGGTCGGTGTAGCACAATCACAATTTTCTCAGCTAAATGGTGAATTTCCTAGGAGTGAGGGAGCTTTGATTTATTTTTATTTTATTTTCAATTTCTCCAAAGCTAGTTAAAATAGTTTTTAGCCTGTTTGGAAGTTCTCAGTCAGTTTAGAAACTGGGTTGGTGAAAAGACAGCTATTTAAAATCGTCTCAGAGGTTTCAAGCCTTTACACACTTTATGCTGTTTTTTTTTTTCTTGGTAAAATTATAAGACTGGACTTTCAAACACTGGAAGGAGTTCTGAGAGGGATGGAAGGAATTCAGCTTTAAAGTTCCCAGTTAACTAGGAGCCCGTAACAAAAAGCAGTATCTTTCTCCACCTATGACACTTTGGATGACAGAACTTTGCTCTGTCTTGGATGTGGTTTTTGTGCCACAGCTTGACCCAGGCTGCCTGGTTTGGAACTACTTTGCTATCAAAGCTTCCCACCATAGTGTCCCATCCTAGTGCCACAATCTTACCAGTGACAGTGTCATTTAGTGGCTTTTCCCAGTCCAAGATGACAAATGAGGGGCAGCCTTCCACGGTGACCACGGTGAGGTTGGTAGGAGGGTTCTGTGGTGGGCTGGTGGCATTCCCCTCTGTGGCTTCCTCTGTAGGGAACCGTCTGACGGAGTCAGTGATGGAGCAGGGCCTGTTGTCTGGCTTTGGGATGTATCGCACATGAGGGCCTAAGAGTGGGGAGGAGAGAGGACTCTGTCAGTAAGCACAGTTGTGAGGAAGATGGAGAGGGCAAACTGTCCATTTGAGCATCTGTTTGAAGACTTTAGTGTCGTATTCTGAGCAGACACTTGAAAATAGTGCTGAGAAGCCGGGCGGTGGTGGTGCACACCTTTAATCCCAGCACTCGGGAGGCAAAGGTAGGCAAATCTCTGTGAGTTTGAGGCCAGCCTGGTCTACAAGAGCTAGTTCCAGGACAGGCTCCAAAGCTACAGAGAATCAACCCCCCGCCCGCAAAAAACTAAACAAAAATAAAAAACCAGTTCATGTAGTGGATATTGACAATAATACTGCAAAGTCAGGAGGAAAGGAAGAATCCACAGAATGTAAGAATGTTGGCATAGGGCTTATCATTGGATGGCAGATGGCATTAAGTTAAAGAAGCACACTGTCAATCCCCATAGGACAACTAAGACAAGGAGTCGTAAGGAACAAGACGCATAAAGCAGAATCATAAACTAAAGGGAGGCCAAAAGAGAAGAAAGAGGGAGCAAAGATTAGGTAAATAGAAAACAAGTAACAAGATGAACATTCATTCTTAAAGGTATCACTAGTAATTTCAAAGGTTCATAAACCACAAACAAAACACAGAGACTATGAGTGTATAAGAAAAGGAAGACCCAGTGCTATGATGTCTAAAAAATATATAGTGTAACTATAAAGAGATTAGATTATGGTTAAAAGTAAAAGGTGGGAAAATGATGCAGTCCAGAGAGAACATGCCCGAATATGTAAATATCAACAAATGAGATTTCAGAGCCCTTCAGAAATAGAAAACAGCTTTCATAATGAAGGCAAGGCTCAGTCAACTGGTAATTTATTATAGTCACACATAATTTAAACCTGTGCCCTCAACAGGCTTAACTATAGAAAGACACGGATAAAACTGTAAACTAGAAGTTGAAATTACACGAGGTTGAAAGCTGTGAAGCCTCATCCCGGTCAGCCTGGGGTTCTTAGGGCCGAGGGACTCATAGGCACAGTGCACAGCTCACGTGCACACTCATGTGAGAAGGAAACCATTTGCAAGGCAAGAAGAGAGGTCAATCTCAGAACCCTTGCCTTCAGAATGGTGGGAAAAGAAACCAGTGGAAATTTCTGTGGAATTTTGCTAGGGTAGACCAAAAGAGTCAATTAAAACCATAATCACATACCACTTTGCACCTGTTAAAATGACAACGGCATTTCAAAACTTTTCTGTACCTACCACTGGTGACGAGCTGGAGAAACCAGAACCTTTAGCAGAATTGTCAGAAATGTAAAACAATACCACTGCTTTGGAAGAGAGTTTCACGGTATCTTAACGCAATCTCTGCGTCCATGAAAAGAGTTATGCTTCCCCAAGTTTTGGCTTGTGCTTGTGCAGATATAACATAAAAAGGATCTCAAAATGTGACTATTTGAATCACCTCTATTTATTTGGTATTATGGTGAAATGGCTTCTCCTAGGTCACTGTTACTCTTTGTTCTAGGCAGCAAAATACAGGTATGCAGAGTGGACCTGAGGCTAGCCTATCTGAATCCGCTGCACCTACTGCCCAGTTGACTTGCAGGAACACGAAAACTCCACATTGTAGTAAACGCCTACAATATTTACACAATAAATACCTGACTGACATACCTACCAGAAGAGTCCTGCCCAAACTCATAATGCAGAGCCAGACATACCTGTGAATCTGGGCTTCCCAAGATGATCAGTTTCTTTAGTTGGGCTTGAACTAAAATCAGTCGTACTGCCTGAGAATGAAAACAGCATGAAAAATTCAATGAAAGATAAAGAAAAATTCACAGTACATTGACAAAAGCAATACAGATAAATAATAATTATCATTCTTCCTAGATACACTGCTTGTGCTTGGATTTCCGTTACTATTCTTACAATACATTTTTATCCAGAATAAAAAGACCTTTAATTGTCTCCTGCAGCAAGATGTTCTGGGGTGTAACAGTAGTGGATTGAATAGAACAATAAGCTAATACTTATTCCTAAATTAAAATATCTGTAGTTCATAGTATTAGGTAATTTAGTAGTCTAATTTTTTAATTGGTAATTGGATAGTCTACATTTTATAAAACAAAACAAAATTTGGCATTTTTATGTCTGAGAAGGAAAGAAGTATATTCTATAGCAAAAGTTTGATAATAAGTATTACTCTAAAGTTGAAAAGACAAATATTCCTAAAATTGCAGGAAATAGGAGACCCCCAAACTTTTCTTTGCCCTAATTTGAAATACTTGAGCATTTGCAGCACAGCACCTAGTGAGAACATCACACTGACCAATTTCTTCTTCGGAAGCTGGAGTGGTTGGATGCTTTTTCTCTGCCTCTGATCTCTCTACGGCTGTTCCAGTAGGTTTGAGTGTTGCCTTCAGCGGTGGGGAAGTCACTCTGCTTGAGGAAATGATTCCTGTAACACAGAATCAAAGTAGTAAGGGCAGTGCCAAATTTCCCATTTATTTAATCAATAAACGTTTATTAAGCACTTACCATGTGGCTTGGCACTATCAGCCAGGCTTGGAGACAAAACAAGACCTGGTTCCTGATAGACATAGATGCCTGAGCCAAGGATATTGAAACATCTCTGATATTGTGAAAGAACTACATAAGGTCACTGAGGGGACAGAGAGAGGGAGTGGCTGTCTATGGGGAGAGGGTAGCACTGGGGAAGCATGTCTTCACAGATGTGCAAGAGCTTCAGTCTATGAATCAGGGAAGCATGTCAGCTGAGGGAAGAGAAAGCCCAGTCCCAGCCTTCGTGTGGAGGGCCAGGAAAGGGCAGACCATGGACGAACTTGAATATCATTACTGTAGATGCTATTTTAAGGGAAACAGACCATGAAAAAATTCCCAGTAGGGAAGTGACAAGAAGGAAGGGATGAGACTTCCATCTTTGCCATTTGGTCAGCTGTGAGAGAAGTTGAGGAGATGGAATGGCCTTGCTTAGAGATGACCTGGCAGACATGGAAGATGAGCAGACTAGGAAGACAATGATCCCCAGGGCCATCTGCGATTCTGTCCCAGGGGCTAGAACAGTGCTCCTCTGAGTTGTTATGTTCAACTCCTTTTTGCTAAAGTTACTTATCAGTCTCTATGTCTGGATTCAAGGTGCAAGCAAGACTGAGTGTTTAGTACAGTCAGCAGAGTATAGAGTGGGTTTTAGATTCCTCCTAGGAAAAGAAGCCCTGCTCAGGCTACTAGTCAAAGGATACTAGCCAGACTTAAGGATTTGGTTCAGTGTGCATTCATGACGGAGTCAGGTAGATGGAGCTCTGCTACCCGCCCCCCCCCCCCCCCCAACTCAGGCCCTTGGTCCTACAGGGAGTGGGCCACAATAAAATGGCAAGCAAAACCAAGAGAAGTGCTTTCCAGAACTGACAGAATCAGCGGGAAACGGCAGCAACATTGTCACCCTGGCAAGAAAAGAGGGACTTGGAGGCCTCCGTAGATTTAGAGATAGGCAACAATTGGTAGATGCCACGTGGGAGCCAAGACTGTTCACAAGCACTTGTCAGAGACTCTCAGAGGACACCCAGACATCCAGTGGATTCCTGAATCACTAGAACTGTACCAATATAGTTGCTGGTTTGCTAGGCTGTGAAGTGGAGTCATTTTCTCTCAGAGGTGGAGCAGCGGAGAGAGTGCACAGCAGTGACCTAAGCTGCTCCTAGAAACAGGATGTGCTTGTGGCTCCGCCTCAGGCTCAGGGGAAGAAGGCCTGTGTCAAAGCTGTACTTTCTGACAGAGAACAGGCTACCATAAGCCCAAATCCAAGACCAGTGAACAACACAGCCTCACCCGCGGACCTCCTGCAGGGGTGGTCCCCTGGGTTCTCATGGCACACACTGTCATCGCAGTGACTCATCAGTGGGACTTGAAAGCAAGTGCCACTCATGCCACAGCTGCTTCACATTACAGGGAATGAGACAAACCCGGTCTCCTCATGCGGCATTCACGGGGCTTTGACCCAGAAAGACACAATGCACACGTTACGGCCTGAATCCTCCCTTACACTTTGGGGAAAAACACCCTAGAGCCGTGGTTCTCAACCTTCCTCATGCTAGGGCCCTTTAATACAGTGCCTCACATGGTGACCCCCCAACCATACAATTATTTTCATTGCTACTTCACAACTGTAATTTTGATACTGTTTTGAATTGTAATATAAATATTTCATGTGCAGAATATCTGATATGCGACCCCTGTGAAGGTTCATTCAACCCCCAAAGGGGTTGCGACCCACTGACCCAGAATCGTGAAACATAAAAGTCATTAGCACCCCTGCTTTTTATCTTGCAGAAAGGACTGACACAGCTCCCTTCACATGAACCTTCTACACTTTCCTCAATACTTTTATCCAGTGTCCACCTACGAGATATTTAGGAAGTTGAGCTATGGAAGGGGAAGAACAACAAGGAACTCACAGTTGGCTAGCAGAGTCCCTAAGCGGGAGTAAGGTCAAGCTTTGTTTTGAACTGGATCAATTTTAACTGGTTCTTCATTTCCTTTGTGTATTCATTCAGTTATTGCTATCAAGTTCCCTCCATATTCTAAGTACTCAACGAGGTTCTAGAATTTCAGAGGGAATACACTAAGGACTGTTAGTACACAATCACAAGCTATGTGAGGAAGATAAGAACACAAACAGCACAAAGTCGTTTGTTTTTGTTGTGCCAGAGATGTATACTGAGGGCCACAGAGGGCATAGTGATGATGCTAAGACTTCTCTGTGAAGCTGGAAGAGGGGTGAAGTGGCATAGCCAGGCCTTATGGAACCATTCTATGACAGCGTGAACCTAGACATGGAAGTAAGAAACAGCTTGCCTGCCCAGAGTCCTTCCCCAGACACCGTAACCCTCGCAATGACATGAAGGCCAAGTCAGTGACGGGACATTATTTCCACTCTCTCTGAGGGTTTGCCATGTTCAGCATCTCCTACTCCTACTCTGAAGTCACAGAAAGCCAAGTCAGTTTCTCTCTAGGCTCCAAGCACGCAGGTATCTCAGAAACAAACTGGTCTAGATATGGAGGAATGGTTTCTTTACTCACTCAGAGTCAGTAGTTCAGACCTCAAAGCTGTAGTTAACAGCACATATCTAATCACATGTGCCAATGGCTTGCCTGCTGCTTAAACCAGCATCCCAAGAAGGGCTGAGTTGGCCAGTAAAATGCAGTCATGGAGAGAGAGGAAAGATATGTGATGGACATACCTGCACTTCCTGGCTTTCCGGTGACATTATTTGGTGGCAAAGGTTTTCTCTGCGGAGGTATAGGTCTAGGGGGCATAGGTCTAGGAGGAATGAATGGACGACGAGTTCCTGGAATTGTGGCTAAGAGATATTATAAAGTCAGCTTTATTTATAAAAATCAGTTTGAAATAAGCTTTCATAAGCAGCAGAGTAGCAGTTGGATGGTAAGAGCCTTTTATAGTTTATAGAAAACTGCCTATGAGCAATATATAGTGGGATTCCTCTAAACTTACGATGGTCATATATCCATGAATAATGAATCACATTAACATATGTAAATCATCTCCTGTCATTTTAGATAAAATACGCAGGCATAGGTGCTTTGGAAGGTCACATACAGAGAACTGACATCTTTCCCCTAGAGACAAGCCAGAAGTATTGATGAACTTAATCACCTTTAGTTGTGAGCCTACAATTCTATCTACCAATTTGACCTTGAATTGTTGAGCACATATATAATTTCCATTTTTTTTTTGTGGGATGTCCACACAACCCCTAACTCTAATATAATTATAATTGAACAACACTGGAACTTTTCAAAAGTAGCAGTCACGGCAGGAATGGGCATCTGGTGACTGGAGAGCAGCTGGATTGGCCACTGCACAGGGATTCCTAGCTAGGGGACATGCCTAGGAGACAATTTTACCAGTCACTTTGCTCTCCCACCCACAAATTTTTCTACAGAGCTACCATCCCAAGAAATTGTACAGTTTTATACCTTGTCTGCCTAATTGGCAAAGGAAAGGAAAGTAGCATTTTATAGTTTGTGTAATGAAGTTGACTTTGCAGGGTGCTTGGAAAAGCTAAACATGTCTGAAGCAGCTCACCTTAGCTCAAACTTTAGCCTGTTATAGTTGAAAAAAATGTGTTTCTTTCTTGGTAGTATTTATGTTGATTTAAAAATAACCAAGAAGAATTTTCCACCCAGAAAAATACTTTTTGCTTTAAGTATTTTCAAGGCTACCAGGAGGAGAGACAAAGAAGAAAGAGCTAGAGAAAGATAGGAGAGGGGGAGGAAGCCTGCCCATGAGCTTGCCCGGGTGAGGATGTCCATATAAACACTGATGCGTGGGAGCAGTTCTCGTGGCAACCCTTTTAAACAACAGAGACTGGAGTATAAGATTCATATGGCTATTGCATATAACGTACTCTTAAAATAGGAACGAACATTATTTCAAGCCAAAATATAAATAAATCACGTAAGAGAAAAACTTGAAAAAACAATCTGAAACCCAGTGGCTCTGTACCACTTGTCCATGGTGTCTCTTCAGGATAGTACAGGAAGCAACCACTAAATTAGTATCTCCCAAAGGGTTTGAATAGAGTGGAATTTGCACTTTCTTTTCCCAAAGATGGTCTTTTGGAATGTTTCTCTAGCAGCTTGCATCTTCTGCTAATTTGATTCTCGCACACAGAGCCATGCAGTTGTTCATCATCCACCATTGCTATCGCTGGGCCAACTTCAGAGCTGAGGGGCCGGAGGGGCCACATCACTCCTTACCTGGTTTTTTCGTGGCATGTGAGTCCACTGACATATTTCTCCCAGTACTTGACGGCTTAGGTGCTTGCTTGGTTCCTAGGAGCAGAGACAATCAATAGGAATAACTGTATAGTAAAAATTTGCTAAACGTTCTTTGTCATGGAAACTCAGAGCTGTCAGAGAAATGTGCACTTCTTACATAAACCCCAGTGCATTTGTGCCCATTTTAATTGTCTTCTACTACCCAGACATAAAAATACTAAAAATCTTACATTCGTGGGTTGTATTTTTCTCTCAAGAGCTGGCACTGGCTTGTGGGTTTTGGTTTTGTCATAATTTTCCATGGCATTCATCCTGCACTGGCTGCCTGGGAGGTATTGCTTCACCAGAAAGATTTTTACCAGGAGTAAATTGTCACCTCCTGCCAGTTTTCATGGGTACATTTTGTGGTTAAAAAGATAATTTCCCAACTCACCAATGCTCATAAAGAAACCTCAGAATCCAATGTGGTTGGGTTTATACTTATTGAACTGGCTTAAAAAATACTTCTGTGCCGGCCTTGCCTGTGAGACTGCTGAGGCTACAAACTGGATCTTACCTCTGGCATTTATAAAATAGTCCTGAATGGCCTAGAACCCCAACTTGTTGTTTGGAAGGAACCAATTCAACTTTGCTTTGTGTGGTATTTTTCTCTTCTGTCTCCCTCAAATATGGAGGTTATCTGGCCATTTGCCTAAGCACCAGGGATAGGTTTCGGACAGCTTCCCTAGGATGCAGGTAATCAGTATGTCTCACTGTAGCTTTGTAATATTATTATTATTTTTAATCATGCTTGCTTTCTTTATACAATTTTGTTTCATTGTTTGAAATTAACAAGTATTATTTTTAATTTCTTCCCTCCAATTCCTCCCATGTACGCTACCCCTACCTTGATCTCTTTCAAATTCATGGCCTCTGGTCTCTTCTTTATTTAATTGTTGTTATACACACATACACAATACACACACACTCCTAAATATATGTGTGTACATATTTATATAGGGTTATATAGATACATTCCTAAATATGCTGATACCACTGGCCCAATCTAATGTCACTTGTGTATATTTAATTTCAGGCAGGGCTGACGACTGGTACTAGATAAACCTTTTCCCAAGGAAGACTATTTCTCTCTTTTCAACATTTCTTAGTTGCTTGTAGTTCTTTGTCTAGGGTTGGGGCCCTGTTGAGATTTCCCCCTTCCATGTTGGCATATTTGTTGATGTCACCCTTGTTCGGGCCTTGTTTAGGCGGTCCTGTTGATGAGACTTCATGGGTGCAGCTTCCCTGCTATGTCTAGGAGGTACAACTTCACAGCAAACATCTAGTTCTTCTGGCTCTTACAGTCTTTCTTTCCCCTCTTTTGTGACTATATTACAAAATAATCTTCCCTAACATGTCTGACAATTTTTTCCTTTGAGACAGGATTTCACCATGCAGCCTTAGCTGGCCTAGAACTCACTATGTACACCACGTTGGTCTCAAACTCATAGACATTCACTTGCCCCAGGCTCCTGAGTGCAGGCATTAAAGGCTTGTGTCACCATGTCTGGCTCTAATAGTATTTCTTAAGAAAGAACAGAAACAGTTTTTAGACTCTAAGTAGGAAATATAACTTCAAAAATGATTATCCTAAAGAAGAATCAATATGCTAATGGCCTAACTGTAGTTTGCATATTAAAGATGAGAAAACATTCTTAATAACCACTTTGTACATTAACAATGACAACATGACAATTACAGTAACTAAATGCCAACAACTCTGGTTTTATAGTTATGTCCCAGAAAAAGTAAAATGATATTAAACACATTTAAGTGTGCAGACAGATATACGATATACTGATCAAATGTAAAAATTTCGCTTGTTGTAGTTTGAATGAGAATGTTGCCCTATTGGCTCATGTATTTGAACCCTTGGTCCCCTATTGGTTGTGCTGTTGGGGAGGTTATGGAATATTTAAGTAGTAGAACTTTGATGGAAAAAAGGACATCACTTGGGGAGGGTGAGCTTTGAGAGTTTATAGCCTTGCCATACTTCCTAGGTCTGTGTTTCCTGTGTGTGGTTAAGATGTAATCTCTCATCTTCCTGATCCTGTATCTGTGGCTCCATCCTTTATGGAGATTCATCCCTCTAGAACTATAAGTACAAATAAACATTTTCTTAATTTGCTTTTGGTCATGGTATTTTAGCACAGAAACTAAAAGCAATTAATATAGAAGTTGGTACCATAGAGTGGAGTTGTTGCTGTAAAGAACCCAACCCTGTTGACTTTTGGAGAAATGTGGGAGACTTTGGAAATTCTAAAAAGAGCTGTCCCTGTGCCCTGGTATTCTTGTTTCCCTGAAACCAGGGAAATGGATCATGTGATTGATTATTCTGTCAATGATATTCAGGCATAGAAAAATATTTGCACTGTGCCAATAAGACGACTTGATTTGGTGACTGACTTTGATCACCATCATTTCTCCAAGGTAACACACACACACATCATATACACACCACATACACATATCACACACACACACACACACACACCACATACACACATCACACACATACACATACACACACACATACCCCATACATCACACACAACCACATAAATACATCATACATACATACATCATATGCACACATACCACACACACCACATCATACACACATACCACACACACACACACACACACACACACACACATACACCACACCACATATACCCTAGAATGCCAATAGGCTGGGTGTTCTTTGAGTTGATTTTTATTAGTTCTTCTCCAAAAATCTTTGTCCTTCAAATACAATGAGTTCATTTTTAATACCGTCTAGGCACTCTGTATATTTAATACTTGATTTGAGCTTTACAAAGTCTATGTGGGATATAGCATCTAGGACCCACAAATGAGGAAGTCCAAAGCTGGAGTAAACAAGCTGCTTAAAGTCTCACAGCTAAGAAATGCTGGGACTCAGACTCACATGCTCTCCACACCAAAGCCTCTTTCTCAAACCACCAGATCCTCCTTTTGAATCCTTCTTCCTTGTACTCCTCACATGATGCTAAGTGACTATAGTCCTATAATCTTCACCTCCTGAAATGGCTGAAGTGCCTCCCTAGATGAGAGTTATTGACCTTGGCAGGCAAGCATCTGTCCTATAGCCATGTCATCGTGTGATGCTCACAGAAAATAGTCACATGTTTTCAGCAGTTCCTATAGGGCAAAGGCAGATCCACTGAGCCCAGGATGAGTACAGGCAAGCGCCTGAAGGCTGAAGTGAGTTGGAGATTAAGGAGAAGAGGGAGGGAGGGACACGGGTCAGCAAGGGGGAAGGCGAGAAGAGGGGAAGGAAAGAGAGGAAAAATAAATTAGAAGAAACTAAAAATCTTCCAATTGCTTTCTATACAGATGGAGACAGAGGCAGCATGCCGTTATGATCTCTAGATATAAGTCACAAATCAACAGCACATCAGCCCTTGAAAACAGATAGACCATAGTAGTATCTGGAAGCACTGGAAAAGGCCCTGCAAACAGTAACTTTGGGGCTCAGTGGAAAGAGTTGGAGACAGGCAATGAAGCCCCAGACTCTGCTAAACAAGTGAACTAGTGCTGGCCTGAATAAGAAGAGGGCAATTTAACACTGAAGGCAGCACAGAATGAGGAGAAAAGTTAAAAAGGAAACCATTATGAGGAACACTGTAGAGAACGGATCGTACGGAGAGTACCCATCAGGCAATCTAGCCCAGGCTGCGAGCTGAATTCTTTTCTCCCAAACAGGATTAATTGACACAAATGCTTAAAGGCCAGTTGGCTCTGACGGCACCCAGACTGGAACCTCAGGATGGCCCACCACTGCCATATGGGAGTTGTCCAGAAGGCTGCGGATTTACGTACTTCATCACTTAGTGAGCTCTTGTCCAAGATGAAATAATGATTTCGGATATTTCTAACCATAGTAACAAAAGCTTTGCAAACAAACTTGTTGATTTCCAACTGCATCAGTGGAAATCAATACTCAGTGAATCGGAGTCTCCACCTCCTGTGAGGAAAAGGGGTGATATTTATGTAGCATTGTTCTCTGTGCTCCAAATTTCAGCTCCTAGCTAAATCCCGATCCAGTTGCCTGAAAGATTTAGCCACAGTCTAGAAAAACACATACCTCACCCTGAGGAGTCTGAGTGCTCCCAGTGAGGCATTCTCCATGTGGGGGCAGTAACATGTGGTTTCCCCATTAGGATAGAGAGAGAAGCCTGATTCTCAGCTATGTGACAGAGTCTTCCAGCTCACATGCTCCGAGAAGCGTCACAATTATACTCTTCCTGGCACGCAAGGAGCCTTCAGAAGTGATGGTCGGATGACAAACCGGCCCAGCAGCTGTCATCTTCCAAGAGAAGTCAGACTCCCTAGACTGGGACCGACAAGTTTCTTCTCTAGAGTCAGACAGTAAACTCCGCCGTTTCTCACAACTTCTCAGTTTAGAAATTTCTAATGTGTAGGACACCTTAACTAAACGGTGATGTCTATGTGTGGAACCACAAAAAAAAAAAAAAAGCAGAATAGCGGAAAAATGACCCATCCAAGCTATGAGCCTTGGGTTAGCAAGAAGGTTTAATGGATAAAGGCTCACAATGCTAACCCACGTGCACACAAATAAATAAATGTAATACAAAAAATTCCCAGCCTCTGCAGGCTATTCTAACATTAGAATAAAGAAAAAACAACTCATACAATGCAAAGCAAGAATCTACAGCATTGTTAAAAGAATCAGAATTATTCAAGGCAACATCCAGCTAAGACTGACCCCAAAGGTGAGGATGGCTGGATGCTGTCTGCTGGCCTCCCCACCCGAGAAATAAACAATACGATGATCCTCCACAAAAGGCCTCAATAGACTGACAACACAGAACAGCATATAAATTTTGTTTGGACGCTGTGAGAGAAACAAGGAATGGGGTGAAGGCAGCCCATTTGTTCTGCCAGAGTTCAGTGGCCACTTTCTCCCAGGAGTTACATTACAGAAGCACTTGTCTATGGATGCAAGCTGATAATGACAGATAATTGATTAAAAAATGGGTCTTGAAAAAAATTCATACTGTTGCTAAGTTAAGGTATAACAATGCTATTGTCTTCATTTGATGACTCCCATTGTCCCAGAAAGAATCATGTTTGATTACACTGGCGGTCAAGAGTGCTCCAATAAGGACCATAGCAACTTTTATTTTTTTGTCATTGCTTATTTTCTCAGCCTATAGCTAATTTCTATTTTTGCTTATGTAACCTCCAAGGAATCACTTGAATATTAAATATGTATACTTAAATTCCTCCCAAGAGGATCTGAAAAAGGATAGCTCTCGTTAGAGCCAGTCTATGCCAATCTGAGAAATTCTGCCCTGCTAAAACTTCAGGTAGGAAGAATGAATGAAATCGCTCAGGACAAATAAGTAACTGGGTGTCTCAGAAATCCACAGACTGGCCTCTTTCATTTGGTCTGAAAATAACAGACCAAAAAAAAATTCCAGAATTTCAGATACCACAATACTCAAGTAAATACGGGGGAACATTCTAAACAAATCTAAATGACTTTTAGACTAACCTCAAGCATTATATCTCTTTCTTACCAGGAGCTGATGAAATGTAACATATATGCACTAAATTCATTCTAATTTTCATGCATTTGTACATGATTTTTATTATTAAAAATATCTCAAGGGAACGATGCAATTCCATTTGCCTATGGAATAAATAAGTTGGGTATTTAAATTTTTATTAGATCTAGCCACACAGCTCTAAGGAAGTTAGTGCTGTGCCATTTGATCAGAACGGTTTATAAGCTACAGAAGGACCACAGCCATAGTCACCAGTTGTTATTGTTTTGAATTAAGTCTACTTCTTCTTAAATTCCATACTGCAGACTGCTAGCAGATAAAGGCCTTTCAGAAAGCTGTGATGGCCCCGTGGGAGAGTATAGGAGGGATACCAAGTCATTTCACAGACTGATCTGTGTATAGCATGTGGTTTGAAAACAATGATTTTTTTCTATTTTCAGTCTGTAACTAATATCTAATTGGAGTTATTTTTGAGAAATAAGACTATATATATATATGGTAGCTAACTTAATAGACTAGGTTTAGAAAAGTTGGAAAATTCTTTTTCAGCATTTTTAGGGATATTTGAAATTGATTTTGAAATGAGTTAAAACTTGAAATTTTAATTTTACAAATATTTCCCAAAACTTATGTAAAAGAAATTGATGTATGAATTCAACAAAATTATGTGAGATGGACAGTGTTAGTTAGGGTTTGTATTGCTGTGAAGAGACACCATAACCATGACAACTCTTATAAAGGAAAACATTTAATTATGGTGGCTTACAGTTCTAAGGTTTAGCCCATTGTCATCATGGTGGGAAGCAAGGCAGCATGCAGGCAGACATGGTGCTGGAGAAGGAGCTGAGAGTTCTTACATCTTGATCCCATAAGCAAGAGGAAGTGCTCTGTGTCACAGGGAATGACTTGAGCACATAGAAGTCTTCAAAGCCCGCCTCCACCGTGACACACTTCCTCCAACAAGACCACACCTACTCCAGCAAGGCTACACCTCCTAATAGTGCCACTCCTTTGGAGGGCTATTCTCTTTCTAACTACCACGGACAGCATTTAGTTTTGATACAACAAAAGAGAAACACATCTGTGATTATTACCTGTTCCCACTCCGTTTCCATGGGGTATCACTTTGGGTTTGGTTTTACCAGGCTTTGTGGTTGTTTTGTTCAGAACTATAACAAAGTAAGGATTAAACACATTAGACATTTCCTTACTAAATGTCTGCAGTCAAAGAAAACAAAACTGCTCAGAAAACTGAAAATCATTTAACTAGGCAATAAGGATAACTCACACACACATACACACACACAAATATGGTCCATAATATAGAAACCATGTTCTCTTATGAAAGTCCTAAACTATCATAGGTGAGGATGAAAATCTGAGTCTGTACTGAGGTGCTCACTGAGCTCTGATATTTGTTCTTGAAAAGAGTAAGTAGCAAGGGAATTTCTAATTCTGAGTGGTAGATATTTTCCCTTGCTTCCTGTATGTGACAGCAGACACAGTCCAAAACAGAACTGAAGGAATATCAGGATTACATTATGTCTAGTGAAAAACTGAGACTTGAAATGAATTTAACATCAAGGCCACCATTCATAACTCATGAATTGGTGGTCTCTTTGTAGAATTCTCCAGGTACTGTCTAGTTACGACAGTCCCTGCATACATCTGCTGTAAAACACTGAGCCATGACACCGCCATGCAAACCTCTTTCCAGATTGCCTGTCTTTTCATTCTCTTCTGGTTCCCCTCAGCACCTCAGTTTCCACAAACATAACTCACGGGTCACATCGTAAGCAGTCAGCCATTGCCGACCATTACTATTTATTTTACAGAAAAGTTTAATCAGTCACATATTAAGCACTCTTCGATGTTTGTAGCACAAAGACACATGAAAATCCCTTATTCTTTTTTTTTATATAGAATTTTCTACCTAATCACCTCTAGGAGTTAGAGATTATAGCCAAAAATGGCTCTCTATGAAGAACTAGGAGTCAAGCAGATCCCCAGCAGACAGGCAGAGAACAAAAGCTCTAGGTAGATTAATATGTTTTTCTCATGAACATTTAATACTGCTAACTTCCTGTTCTCCCTCCCCGAGAGAAACAGTTAGTGTGAGTTTAACCCCCCCGCCCCCACACACACAGACACTAAGGGACTATTGGGGTGTACTAATGAAGAGAGACACAATCTACTTTCCTTTCTTTGTCCAGATTATCCAACACCCTGAAATAGCACAAACCAACCAGTTCTCAAGAAAAAAAGGAATCCATTCCAATCGCACACAACCCCCTCCTTATATTCTAGCTCTGGGGTCCTTTCTCATCTGGGGACTCTGCCTCTGTGTGCTTGGTTGTCTTTGTGTTTCTGCTGCCAACAAGATCTGGCTGAGTGATGAGGCCTTGCTTTCCTTTTTATTCTTTAAGTTAGTGTCAAAAAAGGAGAAAGCATTCCTGAACCCTTAGATGACTTCACTCAATTCTCCACATGTGTGTATATCTAATATATATCACATATACATTTACATATTATATATGCATATATTTATATAGTATGTATGCAATATATATTGTGTATATTATATATAATTGGATATTACATGTATAATATTCAAAGAATATAAAAACATTGCCTCCTTTCTCTCACCCACTTAGAGATACATTCACAGAGACCTTACCTTTGTGAATGACTTTCCTCTTATAAATGCACATATATTTATATAGTATGTATGAAATATATATAATATATTGTGTATATTATATATAATTGGATATTACATGTATAATATTCAAAGAATATAAAAACATTGCCTCCTTTCTCTCACCTACTTAGAGATACATTCACAGAGACCTTACCTTTGTGAATGACTTTCTTCTTTAGCACCTTAAGAGTCCTTAGAACCACAGAAAACAGAAAAGGACAGGAAAACACCAGAAAGGCTTTAGCTGGTGCTAAGATGCTATACCTCAGCACAAGAATCACTTACATTGAAAATTAGTCATTCCTTAAATCCTAAGAAAGATAGAGTTATGATCCTTCACTGACTTGGCAAGTATGAGGTGTCTCTCAATACAGAGCTATGCTTTTTGTTGTTTATAAATAGCTTTATCCTTTGAAGTGTGAGTCAGAATTTCTTGAAGGAACCTGTGTCAGCAATGGCTGCTTGATTAGAACTACATCGATGTGGAGAGATTGGAATGTTGCAGGTCCAGAGCTTAACTATAATTCATTTGGGGCTACTAATAGTCCCCCAAATAGCCATTCCTTGTCTACCTCATAGGCATCCTGTGAGTAACAGATAAACCCTTAGGAGTGTATTAGCTAAGACGTCCGCCAGCTTCCACCAAATCCAAAGCTAAGAATGTTATCAGGTACCATCTGAGGCTTGTATGAGAGATTCCCCATCTTCCTGTACTCTGCTTCTCAAATGTTTTTTAACAATTTGTCTTTAAAATGTCCTCATCTACAGCTTTCTTTGTTCTGATACTATAAAAGTTCACGAAACCACCTCCTCATTGGAACATGGTTTGGGAAGACCAGAATATATAGTCCCAGGTCATGGTCACTCATAATTTTGGCTCCAGAATAAACCATGTCTTTTATTCTTTTGTGATGAGAAATGCTTCTTTTGATGACAGAAGGTATCAAGGAAAACATTCTCTTTGAAACTAAAGCACTCTTTTACTAGAATGAGGCCATTTATTTCCTGAGGCAAGAAAAAAAAACATTTGAAAATGGTCATGAAAAATTTAAGGTGTGTGAGACATATGAATAAACATCATTAAAATATTTTCATATTTGTTAAGTTTTACAGAGGCCTCTGAATCTAAACATCTATGAAAACCTTTAAGTTTAATCTCTTCAATGAATTAACCCCTTCAATTATCTACAAAGATCAGAGTTTCTGTGTTCCCTTGACTTCAACTGAAAGGTACATTGTTCTGGATCCCTCCTCTTCTGATATATTTCCATCTTTGGGAAGTCTGGCTATTTTGGCTCTTTTCTGGAGCTCCCCCAGCCTGCTGACTGTGCAGGTCATCAGAGAAAGCAAAGCTCTCTTACCTGGCCTGGCATAGGGTCTGTCAGGTATTCTGGGCCTCACAGGCGTCGTGTGCAATCTGTGTGGTGCTGAAATAGAAGATATACTTTATACTCAACAGCTAGACTCCAAAGACCAGCCCACTGACCTTTGTTACCCTAGGTACCAATAACCAGCACACTTCACACAGAGGTGGAAAGAACATTCTGCTGAAATCACCAAGTTATTCATTACCTACTTCACGCAAAAGGACACAAAACGTGAAAATACTCATGGCTGAAAAGCGAAGGTACATAGAGAATGAGGTAGGTCAATTGTAATATTAAGAATCAGTCATCTAGTCCATGCTTTCCAAAGGTATTAATTTTATCAGATAGTTGCTTAACATGATAAATATATAACCTAGCCATTCATCTACCCAGCCATATACCTACCCAACCATCCACCCTTCCATCTATCCAGCCAGCCATCTACCCAGCCAGCCATCTGTCCACCCTTCCATCTATCCAGCCAGCCATCTACCCCAACCATCCATCTACCCAGTCATCCATCTACACAGTCATCCATCATCTATCCAGTTACCCACCCTTCTCAATCAGAAACTACTGTACTGGAGCATTAGTTTTTCAAAGAAAGCAATTTTAAAGATTAAAAAAGGATAAAGGAAAAATTTGATTGCTAAGAAAAATAACAGTAACATGTGGCCGCTATCAAATTGTCTTTGCTTGTGAACTCTGAAATCAGTAAATCTTCAGTGTCTATGATTGTTATACAGAGGAGTGAAAGGAAATGACACCCGATGTCCAACCTGTCAAGGAAAAGTGAGCAAGGGACGTTAGAACTAGCATGTTTCCTCCTGTTATGTGGGGCCTGCCCACGAAGAAGTAATGAGGCCTTGCTGAGTCGATACCACTGCAGGCAGATTTAGAAAACAATACAGTTCTATTTTTGCTTCATAAGGTATTGAAGTACGTGCTCCTCCTGGAGTCTACAGCCCGCTGCTCTGTGCACACCACATACTGCACATGGATCCCCGCCACAAGTCTCTTGGTAATGCTTTATCTATGGCCAGAATTTTTTTCTTGTAAACTATACAAATGTTACCTCATTTAATAGTTTTGCCCACATCTTGAGTGGATATTTATTAACCATAAATCAGCAATGTCTTGCCTGGCAGGCTTAAAAAAAATAACACCTGTGAAACAGCTTATGATGTAGCTCTCTCTTGGACGCTTCCAATGGGAGAGTTTTGATGACCAGGATTTTGCCACACAGCAGGCCAACAACACAGGCAGACTGGAATCCTGACTGGGGCCATCCCCAGGGTACTAACCATTGTGAGCAGAAGAGCCGCTGTCATAAAGCATTAGTGTTCACAAGGCCAAACATGTCTCGGGCAGATTTGTAAATGGTTCCCTTTGACTTTCTTTGAGAACCACATGAGTGCTGCCATTTTAGCCCATTTCTGCTCTTAGTGTAGATCCCTCTGAACATTTGCTTACTTCCGCTGAAGAGAACTAATGGGATCATGATTCTTACTTTCTTCATCATAGAAAACAGGGGATTTTCAAACTTGGTGCAGAAAAGCGGATCAGAGTAGGGCACAGAACTGCCCAGCAGCAGGGCCATCATTACCTGGACACTGGGGCGTAAAACCATGTGTTCCAGGTTTACTAGGAAGAACTTAAAGAGCTGGACTAAAATATAACTTTAGGTTGTGAGGTATTTGGACAGCTCATCATCCAATAGCATGAGGCCGCAAGGAACCTGCTCTAACTTTAAACCTAAAAAGGAAGACAAAGGAGTTTGTGACTACGTAACCACAAAAACATTGCTGCCACATGTTTTTGGGTGACCAATACTACAAAACTTTAAAGATGCTTCATGTCTATTAAAAAAATTTCCAAGAATATTAAAAATGAAGTATATAAAAACAACATCTGAAGTAAATACACAGTGATAATCGAAGCACTATGCTCCGCCGAGTTCCACATGGAGAACCAAGCAAAGCTGATAAAGTCAAGCAATCAGGATCCCTAATGTGCCTTTGGGTAGGTACACTGCTACAATGTCCTGAAAGTAAAACACTGGGCACTTAGAGATGATGTGGGTAAAAATGCTTGCTGCCAAGCCTGCCAAGCTCGGTTTGACCCCCAGAATCCGTGTGGTGGGAGGAGATGACTAACTCCATTAAGTTGTCCTCTGACCGCCATACACATGCCACGGCACAGCCACAAAGGCCGGCTCATGGCGCCCATGTTCATCCAAAATAAATACTGTAGAAACAGAACGCAGAGAGAATTGAAGATAAATTACAGTGCTTTGTGTGGGAACTGTCTCAGTAGATGTGGGGGCAAGGCTGCCACACAGAAGGTAGGGGGGAGAATCTAGCAATGGCATTCTGCTGTGGTTCTAGGGGTACCACTGCTGAGTGGTTGAGATCCCGTAGTCTCACACATCAGTGGTCCACATACAGTTAGAGCACAAGAACGGGAGGAATGATCTTATCTCTTCCTCCAGTCTCTCAGTTGGCCGGTGACAGATGAGGCTTGGCATTAAACAAAGCCAGGGTCCCAGATGACATGAAGGGCGTCAGAGCTCAGAACAGCTTTTGAGGAAGGCCCTGTAACACACAGCTGTTTTCATCTGAGCCGCACCCCCGCCTCATGATTATTGAAAGGTGTGGGTTTGTGGGTGCCCCTCTTCTCCTGAAGAAGGGCTCCTTCCTAGTTATTATTCGATATCTCATGCCTGCTGAGCCTAAAGAAAAGATTTGGTACAAAATCAGGAAAACATAAGTCCTAGGATGGCAGGGATGATTTTCAAACTAAGAATTCTCTGGACACGAGAAAAAATTATAGTACATTATACAATTGTACTAAGACAATCAGATCAAAGAGGCTTTATGCGACTCCATATAACTATAAAATTCCTATCTTTAACCCAATGTTGGCATTCTCATAAAAATAGCAAACATATCAGATCCATCATTTTTTTTTTTTACCATTGACAAGAATCCAGGAAGTCTCCAAAAGTAGAATTGTTTTCTCACTTAGAGATGCAAAAGCAGAGTTGGAAGAACATCTTTATATGTCCTCCTTATTATAAAGAGTTATCTATTTTGTTGAAGAGCTGCTTTGTTTGAGCATGAAGATGATGCTGTCATTCAAGACATTAAAGTTATTTGCAAACAGAGAAAAAAATAAAATATAAAATCCAGGGAGGGTTGTGGCCATCATAACTGATGGAGTGTCATCAATGAGGAAAGCTGGCAGACAGGGCAGGAGAAGGCTGCCTTGGTGCTTCTTATTTCCCTGCATAATTGAACACTAATAAGAAGCTAATAAATACAAATTTTATAAACTTTGAATTGGAAATTTGAAAATTAAAAAAAAAAACAACTTACAAATAAGCAAAGCTTAGAGCTAGAGACTGAGTGTTGTACCACACTCGCCTCACGCTTGCTCAGGCCCTCATGCTGGCAACAAAAGGTCTGCCTAAAACTACATTGATGCTGTTGCTATCATTTTTCCTGCTGTTACTTATTATCGTTCTTTCTCTCCTTTCTTTCTCCCTCCTTCCTTCTCTCCCTCCCTCCGTTCCTCCCTCCCTCCCTTCCTTCTTTCCTCCCATTGTATTTTGCCTTTTTAAATTTTTCTCAGGCTGGCCTGGAACTCACGATCCTCCTGTCCTGACTCCCAAAGGTTGGGATTACAATCATGAGTCACCATATAGGCTCTTGTCGATTTATGACTTCGTCCGTCCATGTGCTCCCTCAAATTAGAATTGCTAATGGACAGAACAAAGTGATCGGTCTTCCAATTCCTTCTAAAGTTTGCCTTTGTTTTATTTGCTTTGGCTTTCTACCATTTAATACAAATGAGCAAAAAGGATCATCCAAACAGCAGCAATGAAAACACTACAACATTAGAAACTAGCAAATGTTTATAACCCAGTGAGTTTGGAGCTGTAATGGAAAAGATTCCGAGAATATGAAGACTACGGATGCAGGTGAGTTCTTTCCCCTAGAGACGGGGCATTACAGGCAGCACGTTGCTAAATGTCTAACCACTCTCAATACTTAAAAAATGACTTTTCTCATTGAAAGTTTTTCTCAGCTCATAATATCAATGGGTTTTATTACAGTTTTGGAGAGGAGAGGAGAAAAAGGAAGAAGAGGGGAGAGGAAAGGAAAGTAGGAAGATGGAGGTCTTTCTTATTTATCAGATATGAAAGTCAGGCTCATGAAGGTTCAGCAAGCGGAAAAACCTAGAGACTTTTGAGATTAGTTATCAGCATTCTCCAGCCAACAAGACATTCGAGGCACCAACCAAAGAAGCTGTATATACAAGTGGAATTCAGTTTGCCTGAGGTCCTTCATCTTTAATATAAAAACAGTCAAGTGGTTCGCTGTGGTGAGGAAACCCCATCTGAAAGCAAAATTTCTTTCTTGGTTAAAGGAAGATAAGGAAAAATTTCTCTCCAAGGGTGGAGAAGCAGCATTACCCTGAGTTGTCTTTGCCAATTCAGTCGTCCGTGGAATCTTAGTTGTGAAGATCACCTGGGTAGAATGGTCTGTTTCTTCTAGGGAAGAACATAATAGGATGCCTTGTTTTTAACCATCACCATGAACACAACAAAGAGCAAAGCAAAAAAATCACTGACAGCTCAAACTATTCACTACCACTTTTGTAGTAACTTCAAGGGAATGCGTATGTGGATGACTTGTTATCTTTGTTGCCCTGTTATTTTAGTGATTATTATAGGACTGACGAAGCAGCTTTGGAGCAGGATCATTTTGCTTTGATGTGGTTTCTTACACTAGGGATTGAACCCAGGGCATCATATATGCTAGGCAAGAACCTTACCACTGAGCTAAAGGCCCAAGATAGCTGTTTGATGAGGTTGCTATCCTTGGGTGCAGCCAAAGTTTGAAAATACCTTAAATGTTGATGTATCTGTCTTTCTGTCTCTTTTTCATTCCACAAGTTATATGCAGAAAATAAATAGGTCACGTGAAAAGATGTTTATTTCAATCATAGAAGAACTATCCTTTTATTTTCTATATGTCAAAATGAAAATTATGTTTACTGATATTCAGACACGTTTGCCCTGGTAAAATATCCTCATATTATCCTGAACTTATTACATCATAGTGAAAAAGCATATTCTATTGTTTATTCTGCCACCTTAAAAATCAAGGAAATAGCTGATTGCAGTCATAATACCCTCTTTTATTCTTTCTGTCCCAGTTTATTCTCCTGATTCAATTTTTGGGAAAGAGATTTGTGATAGTTGGCAGGTAGTGGCTCTTTCTTGAGTAAATCAAAAAGCATATTTTAAAGGGAAGTGGAAGTGAGATGATGTATATTCCGTGGTAATTGTCAGGTCTATTTGCTCATTCCATTTAAATTTTCTTCTTTCAGATGGACTTCATTTAAAATATATTCAGCTGCTTCCTCTCTCTCTCTCTCTCTCTCTCTCTCTCTCGTACACACGCATACACAATAAAAACACAGACATAGAGTGATGAATTTACTTTAAAAGGGATAAAGCAAGGACAAGAAGAAGACTATTGAATGAAAGGAGTCTGCAGGGCACAAGAAGGGGAGGACTGAGGAGCCAACGAGCATGATCTGGGGAAGTTCTGCATCATTTTCAGTCATGACTCAGCAAATATGTCTCCACAACTGTGGGTATACTTATGTTGAAATCCTCAAAAGCAGGTCCAGATCGTACATACGGCTTTCTTGTCTGATCCACCGTCTTCAGCGCGCAGCCTATAAGCTCTGCGGGTACCCTATTATAAAATCCTCTCTAGATCACTTGTAGTATAAACAGAAGAAAATGCCATGGAAATAGTTGCTTTGTGATACCATTTGAGGGACAATGGCAAGAAAAGCACCTCATCACTTTCAATACAATTTTTCAAAAGGTTTTGATTCAGGAGAGCTGACTATACTTGGAACTTGACTACTAAGATGCTTGTAGATATTCGTACATAAAGCCATGCAATGGGAAAGTTAAATAAAATGAGCATGGAACTCTAGGGGCTCTCTTTAAGCACTAAGTCCCTTGTGGAGAAAAATAATGTTACCCCAGGTGGTTTGTAGCTCCTCTTGACTAGGTCGTGGTGAAATTACAGGTGTGGAAGAAACGTCCTGTGTCTCTAAGGGTGCTGCAAAAGAAAAGTACTAGGTTGGTAAACTTTTAATCAAAGCCAGCAATAAACTAAAATGGTATGTCAAGAGACACCTTCATTTGAAATATAAGAGGGAAAACATCTCACGAGTGAGGAAATAGAAAGTTGGTGTGCACAGGACTCTCAGAAGAAAGCAATGGAATGTTAGTATCATGGTTCTTAATGGTTTTCTGCCAGGAAGCGCAATGAAGGATATTCTGTTTGGTCCACTGCACAGGAGATCTGGTTAAGATGAGGACCTAGGACTTACCACAGGGCAGAAAACCCTGACGGCTCTTTGGACTGGAGAGGGAGGGGGAAAGGAGTGGGGGGAGGGGGAGAAGGGTGGGAGGAGGGGGAGAAGGGTGGGAGGAGGGGGAGGGAAATGGGAGGCTGGGAGGAGGTGGAAACTTGTTTTTTTTTCTTTTTTTCCTTTTCTCAATTAAAAAAAAAAAGATGGAGTGTGGTTAGGGCACCTTCCTGGTCTTCTCCAGATGATAGCTGTCTCTCTATCACCCCAAAGCAGAGAGGATTACAAAACTGTTGGGATGAGCATTTTGAATCTGTTTTGGTTTAGTTAGACAAGCAAATCAATGACAGTTTCATATTTTAACCAAATTATTACTTTCCTGCATCATCTTCTAAGTGCTGACATATGCTGGTGTGTTGCAGCAGTGCAACCAAGAACCATGAAACTAGCAGGAATATGAACTGGACAGGAAACAGGGAAAGTGGAGTCGTGGAGATAAATGAGGTAGATAAGGAAGGCTTTGTAATGAGCCTTCCTGGACTTCTCCTGAGAAAAACCTTCCAACACTGAAACCATGCTTGTCTTTACTTGAAACAGTGGTTGCAGTGAGAATGACATTATGAAATGAACTGAGAAGAGGAGGCTCTCGGATCATTCGAGAAAAGCCTGTGATCTTGGCGGGAACAAAGCAAGCAAGCAAGCTGGTTGGTTAATATAAGAGTAGCATTACCTATGGTTGGCTTTGGTGGCTCAGCTCTAGAGGTGACAGGAGGCAGGACTATGCCAAAAGTAAACCAAAGAAACGTTATGAAAATTACTATAACAAAGTCAAATTATTTCTCTTCTAGATATAGTTACTTATAAACTTGAATATCCTTTAAGAACAATGATAAATATAAGAAAGCTCTACTAGATTCTACTCAAGGAAATTAGCTAAATAAATCTTTATTTTGTTCACCAATCATCATTTTGAGGAAAACATGAATGAGCAGGCAACTTTTTTTTTTTTTTTTTTTTTTGCCTAAAACCCATAAACCCTTAAGGTTATCTCAGCTATTAAGTAAGCTGTGTAGTTTCAGCATAATCTCTTTAGGAAAACATTTCCAAAGCAAATAAAGCTATTATGTAAGTTTTTCTCTATTTAACCAGGAAAAACTTTTAACAGGATTATATAATCGAACTACCTCTAAGAAAACATGTATTTCATAACCATACTTTTCTATATATCACAGCATGTCTATCTATCTACTAGGATTTTGAAAATATAAATATACTTTCTAAGTAGGAAAATCAGATTTTTTTTTTTTTTTTTTTTTTACCAGTTTCGCTATGAGAGCTCTCGGGATCTGTTTTATGGGAAAGTTGTTCATCTGTTGGAACTGAAAGAAAAAAATTATAAAACACTGCATGGTATTGGAGTGAACATAATCCTCATATGTCAAAAATCCATAAAACATGAAGGATGTAAAAGCTCAAGAGCCACGCTTTAGAAGAAAATGACCATTTTTTCCAAACAGAAGCTATGACTTCCTGGAGGAGAGTGTGGTTACAGTGAACAGAGAGAAAGCTGGGCATAGTTCATATTGAATTCTCCTTCAAAAAGGAAAAGAAAGAGAAGAGGAAATGGATAATCTAGACACAGGGAGGTGGGCTTCCCTTAGGTTGTTTTCAAAACTTTCAAAAAGAAAAGTGTTTGATCTGAGCTGGTAGCTGCCATTTGATGCTCACTAAGATTCAGTTAGCAATAGACAACACGTTATGCTAGGGGAGTGAATGAAAGGTTCACAGGCTCACTATGACAAAAGACAAAAATCTCAAGTACCTATGAGGGGACAACATTTCATTGTAAGTGACATTCAAAACTTACTGTGGAAAGAAAAGGCAAAAAGAACTAGTGATTGGCCATTAGACAAGGCTGCGTGTGAAATTCATGACTGTGGTCAGGACAGAATAAATGCTGGACAAACACACTACTGCCAACTTCCGCCATCTTCAGAGGCAAGGCTTCTTGTGTACTGGGTATTATGCATGCCTGATATGAGACTACCCATAGGTTCAGCTAAATAATAGACCAGCTCACATATGTTGGTGACATGCTGTCGAGTCTGAATGTTGTCTTCTATGTTCACTAAATGGAGCATGTTGGCCACTGACTATCTTACTGGAAATACCAGAATGATATCCTCTTGCTCATATCAGATCTCGAATTTAAAACTTAGCAGGATACTTCTTGATCTCAGGGCCTTCTATAAGGAGGCCCTGCCTAGGCCTACTTTCTAAAGCAAAGAGTTCCTCCCACACTGAGGATTTGCAAAACACCAGTGTCTCTGTGGTAGGCAATGTGATTTGTCTTGTATCTTATCGGAAGCTTGAAAAATTAGGATTGAGGCAGGAGGATGATGAAGAAACCTTCACGCTTTGAGGCAGCTAAGCACAATTTAAGATAGGTTGTCTAGAATGGACATCCCTGTTTTGACTGGGGAGAGAGGGCTGGTTTACCTCACATGTCACATCTGTTCTTACTCCAGGCTAGTACTGACTCAATGACAGCTGTGGAATTTGGTACACTGAATAATTAAATAAAAACTTCACTTAAACTAGGCATGGTGGCACATGCCTTTAATCCCAGCACATGGGAGACAGAAGCTAGAAGACTTCTATGAGTTCCAGGTCAGCCTGATCAGAAGATTCATGAGTTTAAAAGGAAAAAAATCCAGAGGAATTTGAAAGTCTAATGCTTTTACTTATTTATATACTATAGGAAAGAATCAGTAGTTCACAAAGTTGAAGAAAATCCACCCCAATAGCAAACTTTCCTCCTTTTCCACTTGGTGTTTTGGGAAATATATTTCCAACTTTAAATCAAACTCAACATTTACTTGGAGGCTGAAGGAAGAGACACTGGGATTTAGCTCTGCATAGACCATGAAGATGCTAAGACTGCAATAAATGCATATTAATCCCAGTACTAGGCTAGACAAGGGAGAGCTGGGATTGAGGCAGTAAGGGGAAGATGTGCTCCTAACAAACCCACCATACTGTAAACACATTAGTCGCTGCTGCTTCAGTGAGCTGAAGCCTTCAGAAGCGGCTGATGTGGATTCCAGCTGCTACTGGAGGCACTTTCCTTCTCAGTGTGAAGTGGTGATTTAATACACTGCGGAGCAAACTCACTAAAGCAGGTGAAGTCAGGGGAAGGGACAGCAGAGACGTGACTCTCAGGAAAGGCCTCAGAATCATGTTCCTACCTGATACCCTGCAACTCAAGTCATAATTCCCTCTTTGTGGCTTTGATCAGTATATTAAATCAAATGAGATTAGAATCCCTAAAGCCTGTCCTGCATGCTGAGGGCATCTCATAAACATAAGTGATGGTGATGATTTCTTTTAGATGGCAGTTTTGATTTCCTTATATTTCCTTTAGTATATTGTTACTATAGATAATTACATTAACCAATTTATCATTAATATCAACCATCGAATCAATTATGTGAACCATCTTTTTAGGTAAACTGGATCTCTCTAAAGAAAATGTAACTATCAAGGAAATGTCATATGGGGACAAGTGTAAAATGTGTACACATGGATGCTTCATTAGAGTTCGTGAAAAAAATCAAGACACTACTGTTTGAGAAAGCTGATAGAATATGCCCACGGGCTGCAACCACATCACCCATCTTAGAAACGTAAAACACGTAGACACTGTGGGTTTTTCATCTCAAGACTCCCTGTTTCTCTGTTCTAGCTTCATGGCTTTACAATTAGCATGAGAGGGGCCAGGGCTCCCACCCTTTGGAGGACACTGCCTAGGCTTTCCTTGCGCTGCTTACTGGACCTCCTTCCATCTCCTTTAAGGCAGGTTAGCATCTGTTATTAATTCCTATCGTAGGTTGTTTTAGTGGATTTTGACAAAGAGTTCCATGTACTCCAGGCTGGTCTCAACTCGCTATGTAGTTGGGGCTGACTTTGTATTCCTGATCCCTTTGGGTCCAGCGCCCAAGCACTGTGACTGTAACTTTTCTTTTTAGTGCTAGGGACTGAACCTAGGGCCATGGGCATGTCAGCCAAATTCTCCATGACTGAGATACATGCAACCATTCTCTCCTATAGCTTCATCAATAGTTCATATTTCTCTTTCCGTGAGTTCCTTCCCCTCTACCTATAAAATATTCAAGTGTTCCAGCAACCCTACCTAAACCCACCCACAGTAAAGCAAACAACAAACTTTGGTTCTAGGAAAAACATTCTGTTCTTGGCATAATTCTCTCCATTTTCACTGAAATAATAGCTTTACTAAATGTGCGATTAGAATTTCTGAGACACCTGTGAAAATAAAAACCAGCAGGACGCATGATAGAATTAGCTCACTGGACTCAGCTGTTTCAGTGCCTGTGTGTGGGAAAGCAGGATTAGCTTAAATACAAAATAAGATGCTTACCAGATTTAGTGTCTGTCACTTCAGGACTTGGTGGCATTTTTGGTTTGGAAATAGTGTGCTGAGATCCCCTAGGAACTGAAAGAGAGAACTCAGATCATGAGCCGCTAGGGTTCCTTGTTTCTTAGTCATGCTAACACATCAGTCCTGATGGGGAATAAGCTTCAACTGTAATAAAGAACAAGGTAGCAGTGATAGACAGTCAGAAAAGTGAATAATATAAGTTTTAAAATCGATCGGGTAGAAATCCAATGAAAGTTACTTGTTGTTGGAAAATGAAGTCCAAGAAATTACAACATTTGACATCATCAGGATAAAGGGATAAAGAGTTTTTTTTTTTTAATCTTCATATGAGAGGATCCAGGAATTAAGTTAATAGAGGGCTTCTTTTTCTTTCAAGATATGCTTGCTTGACTTGGGTTGATGACTGGGGTCATATTAAGCACTAGAGTTGAGAGTTGCCACAGACTCAAAGGGCCAGGCATGATCCCTGTGCCCAGACCTCAGGCTTTAGAAACTCCAGTTGTTTGGGTCAGATTTCGCTTTGCTTCTTATTGTTAGTTGTTTCCATATATTTACATCTCAAAAATATTATTGTCACAATAAAATTTAGTAATTAATATGAACAGATTAATAATACACAAAGTAGGGCAAATTTTTAATTATTAGTGAGATATAAAATATAGAATAGTCTTTGAATCAGTTTTCTTAAAAAGAATAAGAAGCAGAATCAAATATTAGAGGTCATACCTAGAACAATAGCAGAGATCCTGAAATTATTTAAACTATTCCTGGTAGGATTCAAGAATTACCACCTAGACCAAGGCTAATATTGATGCTAACATTTTCTTTTCTTTCTTGTAGATCGTCAGTGACAGTAACGTTCCTCCCCTGTTTAGTGGCTAGGTCATTTTTAGGAGCAGGACTCAGGTTAGTGGAAGCACATTGTGGGACAGCAGAAAGGCCAGGAAAAGAGCCTAAATTTGTAGGAAAAAGGGGGTAAGCAGCTCCTCTAAGGAAACCCACTATTGGACCTCCCCATCTGAAACAGTAAGAGGTTAGGAAAGCTTTCTGGATTAAACTCGCCTAGTTATGTGCTTTCTGATGAAGTCCAGAAATAATGATAAATACTTTAGGTTTCCCAGAAAGGAAGACTTCTTTGACAACAGCTAAAAACTGAAACTCATTAACTTTAAGTCTTAGAAGTTAAATCATAAACTTGGTAATTACCTGGCGGTTGTGGTGGGATTCTTGGGCGTGGTGTTGTTTTGAGCTTGTGGGGAGTACCAGGTGTCTGCATGGGAGCTAAAAGAAAGACAAAAAGATTCACAGATTTGGAGCCCTTGACCCTTTCCAGAACTCCTGTGTTTTCTAGAAGCTCAAAGGTATTTGCTGAGTGACTGAAGATAAATAAACTCAGTAATTGCTGTCCAAAATCTTCAGAGAGCTGCAAAGGAGAGGGAGATCATGGATATAGGATAAAAGAAACGGATTAAACATACCTCAAATTTCAGCTTACAGAAGAGAACTGTTGTTGTTTTAGAAATACCTACTTCAAATCCTTTTAAAATAGGTTAACAATGAAGCATACAACAACCGTCATCTCATTACTAATCTGCGTTATCATAAATATGCAGGGGTATTCTTTAAATATACACACGTCTTTTTCAAACAGAGAAATTACTATGATAAAAATTCAAGCAGAATGATTTAAATAGCAAGTTGGATGGGAAAAATATGATATTATTGCACAAAGCACAATTCTAATGGTTATAGTGATGAAGAACACTTGAACACCAAAGAGCTTCTCTGCTAAGCCGCGTTCCTTCGCTGGCAAAGATCCAAGGAAGGCTCTAGAGAAACTGATATAAAATTCATTTGTTTTCTTCAGTGAGAAGATAAAAGTATATAAATAAAAGTATATCCCAATAATGGAAAGGAATTATCAGGCTTGGGGTTGAGCCTCTGAGAACACTGCCTTCAGCGGAACTAAAATGTGTGTGGGAAAAACAAAGATCAAAACGCACAAAATGATATCCACAGTGCCATGCAGTTTTAGATGTCTTAAGAAAAACATTGCTGAAAGTAAGAACTATTTGGCATTGGACGTTTAAGAAGAAGAAACAAACTGGTGTTAATATCATGTGGTTTGAGAACTTTAAGAATCATTCACCAAGAACAAGTTGCTAGACACCGGAAGTTGGTGTGTGAATCTGCAGGGTTGATTGACTTCTTCCTGGTAATAAATGGGAACATACAAGATACACGGTGGTGTTAGGGCACGTCTCTAGCCTGTAAAGAGATCAAGACCAAGATACACAGGAAGTTACTTCGGTTTAAAATAAGCTGGGGGTTTAGAGCATCATTAGCTAATCAGGGCCAATGGACACAATCTCTACCAAAACCGACACATGCTTAGGAAGTGTTGTAATCCTAAAATTAATTATTTGAATGTATTAGTGATGTTGTGGTGCAGGCTCCCTTCTTCCTGAGGTCCTCACTGATGTGCCATTTGCTTTCCCCACCACAAAAGACCATGTGGTGACAAAAATGTGTTGAGAAGCAATTCCAAATGTCATCTGATGACTGGTGGCCAAACATGGAATGGATACCTGTGATTTCAGCACTTGAGGGTTCGAGGTAGGAGGAGTTCTGGGCCGGCCTGGGCTACATGACAAGTGTTTGTTCTCACAAAATAAAAGCAAAAACAAGAGTAAAAAAAGAATCACAGGTAGTACATAGAATTAGACACTCAATATCATGTTAATAGGTTATTGAAAGAATTTTTGGCAGTGGTAATTGTAATGATATGAGACAGATCCCATTCATGTAGTCAATGAAGAATACAGGTAAGAAGTCAAACTGTACCATTTATTAGGAAACATATTTAATACGTGCTTTAGAATATCGTGATGTAAATTAATATCCTACCTCCATTGGAAATAGAACCATATAAAGTATTTTTTTTTTTGAGAAAAGGGTATGAGGCAAATTATCTTACTATGTATCTGAAGTTGGTCTTAAACTCTGTCTTCCTGTTTCAGCCTCATAGATTGCTGGGGTTATAGACATGAACTCCATGCCTGGCTTAAAAATAGTTCAATGACATCCAAACATAAGCTTGGGCCTATTCATGGTTAATTCCTATTTCATGGGAAACTATAGGTACTGCAGAAATTTTATTATCCATGAAGGTGATTTGCTTTCATTCAGATCAAACTCCACCATCAAGGAAAACTTTATGACTAATAGTTTGATACCAGTTTTTCTAATACCAGGGGAAGGATATAGGAGACACCGGATTATTGAAAGAAGGAGTGAGCAGTAGTGAGGCCTCCGAATAATGGTAAGAGGATTGATCAATACCCCTTTATGTGGATTATACAACAAAATCTGTTTCTGTCAGTATTGTATGATTTCAAACATGAGTAAGATATCTCAAAATACTTTGCAGTTACAAAGATGGTCAAGACAACAAAGTAATTTAAATATATACATATATGTGTATATATGTATATATGTATTTAAATAGAATATAAAATATTTTTAAATATTTCTATTTCCTGAACTAAAAACTACTAACACTACTAATTCTTACTATTTCTTGAACTAAAAACTGCTAAAACTACTAAAAGTAGTGGAGAGGTAATTTTCAACATTATGTTAAAGATTTACACATTGCCATTTGAGAGAGAGATTGCTGATGACAGACAGAGAGATGTTATGTCAGAAAAGTAAGCTCACCCGTCGAAGGCTGAGATGAATGATAGGCAGGGCTTCAAAATGGACAGGTCAAGTTGTTATTTTACAAACACTCACCTCATATATGAAATGCAAAATAGTGTATTTACCAGGTTCAGTCTGAGGCACATCTGGTCTGAGTAGGATTACAGTTTGGGAAGGCAGAGGTGATGTTTCTATGGTAATTGAAGGAAATTATACTGGGGTTACTATAGTGCTTGACTGACTCAGATTACAGACAACAGGATGGTAACAAACAGATGTCAAAAGAAAAGAAAAGAAAATGGCTAAATTTCAGGAAATCAGCGTTTCCATACTTCTTCATAACTCATTCTATTTAAAAAAGGATAGATGTCAGATTGTAAAATACTTTTGAGATAAGCAATATCATTACTTCAAAAATCTCCACCTCTTTAACAATGCTCAAATGATATATTCAATAAGAACTATGAATGTGAAAAGGTACTTTTAAATTATAGCACAAACCATTTAAGAAGTATAGACTTTCACTTGGATGACAGATATCAAAGAACCAAACATGTTAGGTCAACATGATGGAAAGACTGTTAATGGGAAGTACATCTCTAGGTCAAGAAAATATAAATAGATCACAAGCCTCAGCCAGATAGTGGTGAGCTGGCAGTGATCAAAATACTAGGGAAAATGATATATTTTATATTCAACAGTTTGGCTAACATAAGAATAGTAGGAGACCAAGATGATGATGCTACATGAAAAAACATTTTTGGACAATGATTATGAACAGGAACAACTAGGAAGAAAATTCAACGACAGAGAAAGCAAGTGCCACATGAATTCACAATGAGGGCGATCATGAGACTCTTGAGTGATGATGCAATGAAGACACAGAACACAGAGATGTGCTGCTGAGGATGTCATTACCTAGCAGGGTCTCAGGAAGCTCAGACACATGTGTAAGAGACTCCACAACTGTATCAAAACAAAGGAGAATGAGTTTAAAAATGGAAAGACGTTCAGCTCCACAAGTGTTTCTTGAGTGTCTGCAATCTCATTCTCAAGAATTAATGTCATAATATTATAGACAAGACAATGTTTTTTAGACAGGACAAAAAGGAGGAAAGTCATATTTCATAGTATTAAATCTCTAATATTCATATTTTATCAACAACTGGCTTTCAAATGCGATTATGCTTTGATCTTCAGATACGAACAAATATAGACTTTTTGTTTCAAGGAGTATCAACTATCACGTTAATTCTAAGAATGCAATTGTCTTAGAGTTGCTGATGTGCGTGGCTCATGGCTAAAGCACATACAGAAACATGTGAATCCCTAGATTGATCCCCAGTAAGGGGCGGGGTGAGAAGTGGGTGGATTGATAGGTGGATTGGAAGTGTAGCCCTTTAAATCTGTTCAATCAAGTATCAGAGTTTATATAGTAGAATAAGTGAATCATAGCTTGGAAAATTTTACCACTTTCTGTCCTTGGCTCCTCTGGCCTGAGCGGTTCTTTGGTAGTGGTATCTACATAATCTGTTTCACCTGGTGCTGGGGAAGAAACATGAAATGGCTGGTTAGTGGTGGGCAGGGCAAAGCAGGTTGTTATGAAACCCTGAATTTAATTGAAAATACAGGTTAGGTATTTAGATTATGAAAACTGCTGCAATTTAGTAGAGTAAAAACGAAGTGATGCTTGCTGTGTGGGAAAAAAAGACAGATAGGCAGATGTACACACACACACACACACACACACACACACACACACACATGCATAGAAACACGCACACACAAATAAATGCCTTCCAGGGTCCATTACAGCAATTATTACTTAAAGTAGAGTAGGTAATTTTACTTTCTTACATATTTTTGCATAAATATTTTAGTAATTAAAAAGTCTAGGATGAGTCCTTTGGAAACCTGAAAATGAAGCCTTAACACAATCTGAAAAGATATATTACATGTAAACATATATTACATGTATTACATATGTGCAGATTCACATGTACATATACAAAGAATAATCAGAATTTAAAAATTATGAATTTCATTAACTGAGTGGAAACTATGAAACTTGAATTGCAATATAGCATATACTAGCTAGCATGAGTTACTACATTCATGATGGCTCTAAAGACCCACCCATTGGATAGACATAGAGGAAACACGAGGAGCGGGTGGCTATGAATTGTCACAAAGCATGATCACATCCAATGATGCATCTTGCAATGAGATGGAAAAGCACATAGTCTTGAGTTCCCACTGGGAACATTTTTACCTATTGTCTTCTGGGATGACTCAGTACTATACACAACCAATTCCAGGTCATCAGAAACTAGGAAATCAAACAATGGTACAACTGGTCAAAGATGTGCTGTTGTAAACATTAGGCAAATTAGACAAACTAACTATTCAGAAGAGTTTTGGATACCTGGTAAGATTGAGTGACCTGGTTCTGATAAAAAAAAAACCATTGCATTGGCTAAGCACTAAAGGAAACCCTAATAACTGAGTTGAATCCATGACATGGTAACTGTTTTGGCTATTGTAAATAAACACACCTTAAATCTTTAATAGGAGCACTG